ATTAAGGAATTTAAGATTTGGATGTTTATAATTAAGATAAAGAGTTTTTAGCAGGAAATTATTCTGTTATAAATATCACCTTTCATGACCACTGGTCACATTTCACTATGGATGCTAGAGGTGACGTTGTAGCCAGTAAACATCACGGGTTAGACATCTTGCTTGATGGATTTGGATACAACAAAGGGAGGATAACAAGAATAGCATAGTGCAATGCGCTATAGGAAACCTAATTACTCTGCTAGTATCACCACAACATCTTCATTTTACTATTTGGTTTGAAAATATTTTTATTTCAAAAGAAATCTGGCTTGGTAAACAAGCAAAACTTGCATTTTACTATTTCCACTGTGACCACTCATCGTTAATTGGGATCTTTAACTAAAAAAAAACAAAAAAAAACAGAGTATTCATATTATATTATATTTACCGTTTGCATTGAAAAAGTGTTGTATGTTTATTGTTTATTGTTTGTGCATATTGATTTAGTATTGCTTGTTCTGTGATCATGCTTTCTACTTCAATATTTTCTTGAAATTTAGAAGTCTACTCTTGTACTGCCGTGGGTGGTCTTTCGAGAATACAATGTGTGAGTGGAGTACAGCACACTTGTCACCAAGAGGCAATGCACTATTTATTTTCACTGGTTTGTGGGGTTTCCGCCTGGGCAAGGGGTCACTTTATCTGCCAAGATGTTTTACTTAACTTCAAAACGTATTTCGTCAAATCACTCAATGATATTACCTTTGTAAACAGACATGTATTCTAAATGGTACAGTTTATTTGATTTTATTTAGAATTTAAATCCTTAATTAATCGTTCTGATACAATTATTAATAAGTTAGACTTAAAATACGGTCATAGATCATGCCAAATTGTCCACTGTCGCCTAAGACTCGGCAGCAGTGATTTAAATGCTGATAAGTTAAGACGACATGTATCAGACATACCAGACTGCACTTGTGGATATCATTTTGAAGATGCAATTCACTTTTTCTATACCTGACAAAAATACGAGGATATCAGAAACACTATGTATTTCTACACATATCGGTTTGTTTTAAAAACGATATTAAATGGCAGTAGTTCATACATCAGTTCTAAAAACATGGCTATTCTTCAATCAGTTCACGATTTCATTGTGAAAAGAAAAGATTTGAGTAGCTTAATTTTATGCATGTAGTAATGGAAAACTGCATGATCTTATTTCACAGACACCACTTGCTTCAATGTATTGGCTTCATGTATTTCATTTGTGCATTTTGTATGTTTATGTTTAGCATATATGTAACCAGCTGTTGTTAGGTTATTGCCGGAAGAGCTATTTACATAAGCAAGTTTTGCTTGGTTACCGATCCGGAGTTTCTTTTGACATAAAAATATGTTTAAACCATATAGTTTAAGTATAATCCGTTTTGTATCCTATGTATATGAACTGTATAGTAATTCACGCTTAGGTACCTCCGACAGTGGTTGATTCTGAGAATAAACAGAATACAGATCTAATTTAAACAACGCTTAACATTCTTCACTCGTTTCCTGATTAGCACGTTCGCTATTTACATATGGAGATTATAATATATATATTACGTAAATATTTTACGTTCATAACATCAAGTTTGTCTCGAACTTCAAATCATAGTTACGTGTTTAAAAAACAGTTTGTGTATTTTCTTACACAAACAGTTGTGACAACAATTTGACTGTTTACTCACCTAACTACTTTAATTCGTGTCAATTAACAGTCAACAATAGCGGGACATAGCAACGCCCACCCAAGCGTATTATCGAGGAGCATTGAAAGAAATAAAACAGTCACGAGCTGGCAATCACATAGTAGTATTGCCGTTGCTCCCACAAAGGTAGTTGATTTCAAGATCTGAAGATCTTAGAGGTATTAGCTATAGTCTGTTCTAGATAACTAAACACATAAATACTGGTGGGTCATTTATTGCACATCGACCATATATTTCACTTTCACATGTAGACAATTAACTTACATATTTCGCATGCAGACAATTAACTTACATATTTCGCATGCAGACATTAACTTACATATTTCATTTTCACATCCAGACATTCACTTACATATTTCACATTCACATCCAGACATTCACTTACATATTTCACATTCACATACAGACATTCATTTGCATATTTCACTTTTACATACAGACAATTACTTACATATTTCACATTCACATACAGACATTCATTTGCATATTTCACTTTTACATACAGACAATCACTTACATATTTCACTTTCACATATAGACATTCATTTGCATATTTCACATTCACATATAGACATTCATTTGCATATTTCACATTCACATATAGACATTCAATTGCATATTTCACATTCACATATAGACATTCATTTGCATATTTCACATTCACATATAGACATTCATTTGCATATTTCACATTCACATATAGACATTCAATTGCATATTTCACTATTACTTTTGTTACAAACGACTTGTTAGACACACACAAGCTGTAACTTTCTATTTATGTTCACTTTGTATTTGTATTTGATGTAATATGTACAAACATATTATTTAAATAATGTCTATATCGATGACGTCACATCCTTCATTTCAATATGTAATATATGGTGTATAGGAGCGGTGTTAACATAAGCTGTAAAGCTTGTTCACCAATCCCAACTCATTTCAATGAATACAAATATGTTTAAACCAATTGCATATTTTACTTTCACATACAGACATTCATTTGCATATTTCACTTTCACATAAAGACATTCACTTACATATTTCAGTTTCACATACAGACATTCATTTAATATTTCAGTTTCACATACAGACATTAACTTAGATGTTTCACTTTCATGTACCTCTGACGGTGGTTGTTTCTGAGAATACAGATCTAATTTAAACAACGCATTATATTCTTCACTCATTTCCTGATGAGCATGTACTCTATTTAAATACGGAAATTATAATCAATGTATATTATATATATTACGTTCATAACATCAAGTATCTCATAACCTTAACTCATAGTTACGGACAAACCGACCGACAGATATTATATTTATGTCTCACTGAGTGCGCAGCCACATTTACAACAAGAATCAAGGTATTTAAAAAAATGGAATTATGAGAGAATAAAACAATTTAAAAGACATGTATACAAGATAAAATATAAAGTGTAATACTTAAGATATACACAAGGTTTCGACGACGGATAAGTATAAAATAGGCGGTTTTGGCGACATGTTTAACAATATCAACGGTCGAGAAAAACAAGCATAATTGATCTACATCATTCAGATGATCAAAATCTTCTTTAACATCTCGAACAATATTTTCGAGAGAATTGCGGAGAGCATCATACACGGGGTATTTAAAAACACACATGTATTTCATGTTCTACGTGATTACAACACAGAGGACAAATTCGCCGTTCTAACGGCAGGTTTTCAAAACGCACAGTCTCCTGACTTACGGGGGCAACCTCACACCTGAATTTAGCTAGTGCACTACGATGTGACTTTAGTAAGGCTGTGGTTACATACGATTCTGCACAAAATATTTTTAAACATTCGATACGTAATTTTCCTTCGTCATGTTTTGCATTATGCTCCCATAGTTACGTGTATAAAAAACAGTTTCTTAATTATGGGTATTTTCTTGTTGTGACAGACAATTTGACTGTTTGTCATGAACTTCAAATCATAGTTACGTGTTTAAAAAAAACAGTTGGCGTATTTTCTCACACAAACAGTTGTGACAACAATTTGACTGTTCACTCACCTAACTGCTTTAATTCGTGTTCAGTCTCTGTCACAACAGTAAACAAAACGTGACGTAGCCACGCCCACCAAGCGCCATCTCAAGGAGCATTGAAACTATTAAAACAGTCACGAGCTGGCAAACACATAGTAGTATTGCCGTTGCTCCCACAAGTGTAGTTGATATCAAGATCTGAAGGTATGTAGAAAAGACATGGAATTCGTTAACCGTTTTGTTGTTGTTGTTGTTATTATTATTATTATTATTATTATTATTATTATTATTATTATTATTATTATTATTATTATTACACTTTAGACCGTGTTTCACGTGGATCTCAACTTTAATTGTTTGAATAACATGCGACAGTTTGGTACGGTGCACGAACCGTTTTCAAGCAAGTGATACAGATAGCAGCACATGTAACAAAACGCCGCATCGAAACAATAAAGTAGTTGAAATGTATACGTCAATTCTACCTTCAGTATTAGTATATTAGTATTATTAACATTTAACATTGGGATAAATTCGAAAGGCAATTCCTCACTCTTTGTAGGTAACGTGTGCCTGTTTTACAAATCGTGAAATGTTTTTTCTCTCTAAATTACTCTTCATTCGGTTATGCAACTTGTGTTGGGACTTATCCATTAGCAACAAAGGGATGTGTTTATATGTGTGGGCGAACTGCCACGCCACATCACAATTCTTCTAGGCAAAGTGACTGAAGGCGAACTGCACTGTAGCGAAAATAAAGATCTATAATCACATACGACTGGTGAACCGGTGAAATCGTATTGTAAACAAAAGCGAAATATACAAAACATACCAAGCTTATACAAATAACTCTGTTTCCCTTAAGGAAATTATGCTTCCCAATAACAGAGATTATATGGCAACGAACGTGGTATTCATACATTCCAACGATCCATCAAAGCATCGATGAACTACTTTGTGGTATAACGGTATAGTGTTATGTTACACGGATAACTCGATTGTCCGGAACGTGTTATTAAAACGTCCAATTGAAAATACATTTATAATTTCTTTTAAATGAAACAAAAAATCACAATAATTCAATTGACTCGTTACTTTCTACATCTACAGTATATCCGCATATTATTAACGGAACAATCTGATAACGGTAATCAACGCGTAAATAATCACATGAAATGTACAACGTCATTAATATCTTGTTACTCATTCATCGATGGCTATTTCGCGTCTAGACGTGTAAGTTTCATGTCGATGACGAACAGTGTCGCGGACACCTGCTTAGTCTAGCAGTAGCGACACGGTAGCGACCAATTACGAAACTAATGCTGTTAATTCTTACCTCGTGTCAACGAGTACATTTTTTGACAAATGTCCTCTTATCAAACCGCCCCCCTGGCTAGCCTGGTCTTTGGAATATACGGTTATCATACCACTGTCAAAGCTGTAACGGGGGCCGTATAAGTGAGTATCTTTTCCACCACTGAAAAAGCGGTAACGGGGGCCGTATAAGTGAGTATCTTTTCCACCACTGTAAAAGCGGTAAAGGGAGGCGTATAAGTGAGTATCTTTTCCACAACCCTTTTACATTTCGTAACAGCGTCAGAGCATTAGGAACGTGCTGAATGAATTATTTACCATACAGGTAATTTAATTAGTTAAATTTTCTTTGAATTTCTTTGAATGTAAAAATATATGTGCGAAATGCGTTTTCTATACGGTCCCCAAGTTCACTGAAAAAACTCTCAATCCAGTTTGTTTAAAATTAGACTGAATAAACATATATTGGAACGTCGTGGATATACACGTGGATGGACAAGCGGACATTTTAAGATGTGAGTATTTAGATGCGGGGTATGATGTCATGATACATATATAGATAACGACGCCATGCTAAACGACAAGACGCTCGATGCAATCAACCAGCCAGCCGGTCAACCAGCCACACTCACGCACCACGCTCGTGTGAGCGTTGTACATTGCAACACCACATGGTGATTGACAGCTCGGTGTTACCTGATCATGAAAAGAGTTACGTGATTGACAACTCAGTTCGATTGGGTAGAAACGGTAAATATACTCTTATGTATTTGGACTTTTTACATGGTGTCAGTGTATTTGTATCAGTTTATCACTGACAAACTCAATGCTCTACTTATCACGAAATACATTAACAACATGTACATATATGTTGGTACGTTTCATTATACCGCTACACCTGTACCGCAGCGATATAACGAGGTAATGCTGTAGATTACATGTGTTTCCACGAGCACAGCTGATCGCGGCGGTTGCCTATTGCTGTTTTGTTGCGGTAAATATGTATTTTTTTGTATATGTAGCATATGATTCATTGTCAAACAACATGTACAGTATTTTAGGATGCGTCGACAACGTCCTCGTGAAACCGTCGGGACGAGGTTGTACGAATCTGTATACAAGATAACTAAGTTGGTTACGGGCGCTGATCTCACCTGGTGGCCTGGTCATATATACTGTATAATATGTGGACACACAGAATATGTGCTATTGTTTTCCAGATGTTGTCACAGCTCCGTTTGGTTACTAAGCAACTTGTCCTAATTCCAAAAAATGCGACGTATTGTTTGGGTGTTTTTTTTACGATGTCAGACAGGTTAAACACATGTAGACCAGTCCTTCTTGTGGTATTACTGGAGACTATGATATATACGGTAGAAAACAATACCTTTCTTTACATGACAGTAAAACAAATGTTAAAATACGCACGTTTCACAAATTAAAAGTCAAGCTTGCCTTTTATGATATCACTGTAATATATCATTTCTGATAAACGAGGCCTAGAAATTGAGTCGGGAGATTTAATGACTGAATTTAACATGCAAGCCAAACACGACTGGTGATTTCCGATGTTGGTATGCATAATCCTCGTTACATGATATATATACGATACGCATTTGAAATGTGTTCTACCTGTTTTGGAATCATGATAGAATTTCACAGTGAAATAGAACACTACCTCGTTTAAACACGATTTCCGCATGTCAACCTGTAATCCTCGTTATTGCCTAGCTTCCCGTAAGTATGGGTGAGTGCTCTCCTGCTTAGCTTAAGCACATGACGCAGTTTTACTTACATGTTTTTATAATCTAGGTATGAACCAACCACTTTGCCTTTATTATCGTTGAGGCCCCTGGAATATGTTACAATGGGGTAATTATATCTGACTTCTTGTACCACTAGGGATCGAATCCACTACAAAGGGGGTATTAGTTTGCTGCCGATTGCCTCGTGAACGCACAACCCAAAGCTTACCTTGTAACCTGTGTTGATCAAACGAACGACGCGTGAGAGAGAGAGAGGGAGTGTTTGACGCTGGGTTTCAGGCCAGTGTCCGGTCACCTGTGAATGGCCAGACTAACCATATATTTTGTTTCAGGTGCTGGTCAGTTGCAATTAGTGAGAGCGTTATGGCGATGACCCACGTGGAACACGCGCTGACCCCCGGGGTCACGTACACGAAGTTCGGAAAGAAGAGAAAAACAGGTATAGACATGATTGCAAAATGTGTCTGTCTGTCTGTCTGTCAGACATATCCGTCTGTTTGTCACAGCCATACCCGTGCTCGTGGGTTTCTATCTATCTATCGTTCTATCGTTCTATCTATCTATCTATCTATCGTTCTATCGTTCTATCTATCGTTCTATCTATCGTTCTATCTATCTATCTATCTATCGTTCTATCGTTCTATCGTTCTATCTATCGTTCTATCGTTCTATCTATCGTTCTATCTATCTAGTCGTTCCGGGGCAACGGGTGACCCAGTGGTCTGAGGTGCCGCATTTCGTTGTGCAGTTGTGTCCCTTGGGTACACCAGTAACCTATGATCATGGGTTCGAATCCCAGTTCGCCCCAATTATGTAAACTAGGTTTGTCAGCACCATACCCGTGCTAGTGGGTTTCACTAAAGTGATACACGGCTAAGACCAGCATCACTTCGGGCTTTTCTCCCACATTAGGCTGACACGCCGTAACATTACTGGAATACTGTTCAAAGCGGCGTTAAACCCAACTTACTCACTATATTTGTTCCCTTATTTCTTTACATAAGTATATTATCATAGAACAATCGGCCTCCACTGGAATGCGATGACAAATAAGATTTGACCACCCCAAGGTGACTATGAATGAATGAATGCATATTGCTTTACGCCGCACCAGGACTATGTGACGTATCCTTTTTTTGTGCAGGGGTTGTATACCTGGGCCAACACGCTGTTCTCAAGCCCGTCCAAAACTGTGTGTCAGGACGTCGTGAAGTCGACTTCTACACCACCGTCTTCCATCAGCACAACGACGAGGTTGACGACATCGTAACGCTACGGGATTTCCTTCCCCGTTTTATGGGCGTGGAGGAGAGAGCCGAAGGTAGGTAGACATTTAAATGTTTGAACTTTACTGACGGAGAAGTGGTTAACGTTTGCATGTTGTTTAACACCACACTTAGCAATATTAAAGCTCTATTTCAGTGGCCTGTAAGTAAATTATTTTGGGCCGGACAAACCAGTGATTGATATCATGAGCAACATTCGACGCAGTCGGGGTACGATAACACACAGTCACTAAGCCTGGCCACCCGATCAATTTCGTCGCCATACCACAAGCTTATGTTGCATTAGATCAGTTTTATCCCAAAATCCACACGCATCCCGTAATTAGCCTTTGCGATATAAAGGAAATACGTGTGCAATTATAACCTCAAGTCACTCACTAAATCGATGCAACTGTTAGTAAGTAATCCATAATAATAATTATGATGGTAATGATAATGTTAATGATGATAATAATAATAATGATAATGATAATGATAATACTAATACAAATAATAATAATGATATTAATGATACTAATGATGATGATAATACTAATACAAATAATAATGATGATATTAATGATACTAATGATGATGATAATACGAATACAAATAATAATGATATTAATGATACTAATGATGATGATAATACTAATACAAATAATAATGATGATATTAATGATACTAATGATGATGATAATACGAATACAAATAATAATGATATTAATGATACTAATGATGATGATAATACGAATACAAATAATAATGATATTAATGATACTAATGATGATGATAATACGAATACAAATAATAATGATATTAATGATACTAATGATGATGATAATACGAATACAAATAATAATGATATTAATGATACTAATGATGATGATAATACTAATACAAATAATAATGATGATATTAATGATACTAATGATGATGATAATACGAATACAAATAATAATGATATTAATGATACTAATGATGATGATAATACTAATACAAATAATAATGATGATATTAATGATACTAATGATGATGATAATACGAATACAAATAATAATGATATTAATGATACTAATGATGATGATAATACGAATACAAATAATAATGATATTAATGATACTAATGATGATGATAATACTAATACAAATAATAATGATGATATTAATGATACTAATGATGATGATAATACGAATACAAATAATAATGATATTAATGATACTAATGATGATGATAATACTAATACAAATAATAATGATGATATTAATGATACTAATGATGATGATAATACGAATACAAATAATAATGATATTAATGATACTAATGATGATGATAATACTAATACAAATAATAATAATGATATTAATGATACTAATGATGATGATAATACGAATACAAATAATAATGATATTAATGATACTAATGATGATGATAATACTAATACAAATAATAATGATGATATTAATGATACTAATGATGATGATAATACGAATACAAATAATAATGATGATATTAATGATACTAATGATGATGATAATACGAATACAAATAATAATGATATTAATGATACTAATGATGATGATAATACTAATACAAATAATAATGATGATATTAATGATACTAATGATGATGATAATACGAATACAAATAATAATGATATTAATGATACTAATGATGATGATAATACTAATACAAATAATAATGATGATATTAATGATACTAATGATGATGATAATACGAATACAAATAATAATGATATTAATGATACTAATGATGATGATAATACTAATACAAATAATAATGATGATATTAATGATACTAATGATGATGATAATACGAATACAAATAATAATGATATTAATGATACTAATGATGATGATAATACTAATACAAATAATAATGATGATATTAATGATACTAATGATGATGATAATACGAATACAAATAATAATGATATTAATGATACTAATGATGATGATAATACTAATACAAATAATAATGATGATATTAATGATACTAATGATGATGATAATACGAATACAAATAATAATGATATTAATGATACTAATGATGATGATAATACTAATACAAATAATAATGATGATATTAATGATACTAATGATGATGATAATACGAATACAAATAATAATGATATTAATGATACTAATGATGATGATAATACTAATACAAATAATAATAATGATATTAATGATACTAATGATGATGATAATACGAATACAAATAATAATGATATTAATGATACTAATGATGATGATAATACTAATACAAATAATAATGATGATATTAATGATACTAATGATGATGATAATACGAATACAAATAATAATGATGATATTAATGATACTAATGATGATGATAATACGAATACAAATAATAATGATATTAATGATACTAATGATGATGATAATACTAATACAAATAATAATGATGATATTAATGATACTAATGATGATGATAATACGAATACAAATAATAATGATATTAATGATACTAATGATGATGATAATACTAATACAAATAATAATGATGATATTAATGATACTAATGATGATGATAATACGAATACAAATAATAATGATATTAATGATACTAATGATGATGATAATACTAATACAAATAATAATGATGATATTAATGATACTAATGATGATGATAATACGAATACAAATAATAATGATATTAATGATACTAATGATGATGATAATACTAATACAAATAATAATGATGATATTAATGATACTAATGATGATGATAATACGAATACAAATAATAATGATATTAATGATACTAATGATGATGATAATACTAATACAAATAATAATGATGATATTAATGATACTAATGATGATGATAATACGAATACAAATAATAATGATATTAATGATACTAATGATGATGATAATACTAATACAAATAATAATGATGATATTAATGATACTAATGATGATGATAATACGAATACAAATAATAATGATATTAATGATACTAATGATGATGATAATACTAATACAAATAATAATAATGATATTAATGATACTAATGATGATGATAATACTTATACAAATAATAATAATAATAATGATAATGATAATACTAATGCAAATAATAATAATATTAATGATACTGATGATGATGATAATACTTATACAAATAATAATAATGATATTAATGATACTAATGATGATGATAATACTAATACAAATAATAATAATATTAATGATACTGATGATGATGATAATACTAATACAAATAATAATGATGATATTAATGATACTAATGATGATGATAATACGAATACAAATAATAATGATATTAATGATACTAATGATGATGATAATACTAATACAAATAATAATGATGATATTAATGATACTAATGATGATGATAATACGAATACAAATAATAATGATATTAATGATACTAATGATGATGATAATACTAATACAAATAATAATGATGATATTAATGATACTAATGATGATGATAATACGAATACAAATAATAATGATATTAATGATACTAATGATGATGATAATACTAATACAAATAATAATGATGATATTAATGATACTAATGATGATGATAATACGAATACAAATAATAATGATATTAATGATACTAATGATGATGATAATACTTATACAAATAATAATAATAATAATGATAATGATAATACTAATGCAAATAATAATAATATTAATGATACTGATGATGATGATAATACTAATACAAATAATAATAATGATATTAATGATACTAATGATGATAATATTTATACAAATAATAATAATGATAATACTAATACAAATAGTAATAATGATACTAATGATGATGATAATACTTATACAAATAATAATAATATTAATGATACTGATGATGATGATAATACTAATACAAATAATAATAATGATATTAATGATACTAATGATGATAATATTTATACAAATAATAATAATGATAATACTAATACAAATAGTAATAATGATACTAATGATGATGATAATACTTATACAAATAATAATAATATTAATGATACTGATGATGATGATAATACTAATACAAATAATAATAATGATATTAATGATACTAATGATGATAATATTTATACAAATAATAATAATGATAATACTAATACAAATAGTAATAATGATACTAATGATGATGATAATACTTATACAAATAATAATAATAATGATAATGATAATACTAATACAAATAATAATAATGATATTAATGATACTAATGATGATGATAATACTTATAAAAATAATAATAATATTAATGATACTGATGATGATGATAATTATATTGATATTGATAATAATACTAATACAGTTGTAATTGCAATTTATGGCGCATCTTCCCAGAGCTTAGTCAGGTGCAGCGCAGGAAACAGAAGTTCTCTACGAACTCACTTATCAACCAGGACATAAACAATTCATTAATTAGAGCAAGCACATGTCGCATGGGACCAGCTTCAATCCGGAATCCCCACTGAGCTGGATGAGTGCTTAACACAACTTGCGATATTTCCGCAGAACTCCTGAAACGTGATTTACACATTGTACCCACACGGGAATCCATCCAGACTATTGTAGTTGGGATATATTCCATAGTTGAAAGATTGCCCCGTAAATAAACTAATGTACTGATGTAAACGTAGTGAAGTTTATATTCATATTTTTGCCAATTAACTAGATTATCAAAAGTTTTCAAACGAGAAAATCCAATTATACAGTTCCAACGTTTTTGCGGAGATGATACATATCTTTGAAATACATTTCGCCACCCAGCGCTCCCGACCGCCACCAAGGGACATTACTCTGAAACAATCGAATTTGAGTGAGTGAGTGAGTAAGTGAGTGAGTATGGTTTTACGCCACTTTTAGCAATATTCCAGCCCACAATCGAATTTGAGGACCCTAAAAGAGGCCATTGATATATAATTACATTCAATCAAAATGAGCTACATCACATTTAAATGGTACAAAATTAGTGGCAGTAGTTATAGCGGTAAAGTAAATGTGGCCACAGTAGTAGTAGTAGTAGTAGTAGTAGTAGTATTAGTAGTAGTAGTAGTAGTAGTGGCAGTAGTTGTGGTGGGGATCAGGTGGCCCTGTCATATAAGGCGCCATAATTCGCTGTGCAGAGTTGCGCCCCTTAGGCGTACCAGAAACCTATACTCGTGGATTCGAATCCCGGTTCGCCCCCGCTGTATTAAGTTTATCAACACCATACCCGTGCTTGTGTGTGTCACTAATGTATTAAACATCTAGACCTGCATTCCTCCCACATCAAGCTGACACGCCGTGATGTAACTGAAAAACTGTTTAAAGCGGCTATTAATACACATACACTATTAGCAACAGCTACAATGCAGCAACAGTATTCAGGAAAATGTGTAGCTGTATTATATCATGTAATACACCTTAAGGAAATGATTTTTGTTTTCATTTCAGTGAGACATCTAAAGTTAGAAAACACGATGTCCCGGTTCAGGAAACCCTGCATGATAGACATCAAGATGGGCCACGTGACGTCAGACCCCCTCGCGTGGCCAGAGAAGGTCGCACAAAGACGATCCAAATACCCATATGCGGAGAAGCTTGGCTTCTCTCTGTCAGGCATGACGGTAAGTACCAGCCAACCATGACTGATTGTTGATTGTTTCTTATATGACGACTTGCCGTAAATAATACCGCCTGGACCAGACAAACCAGTGATTGATATTATGAGCAACGTCGCGCGCCGTCAAGGTACGATGACACGCTATGAACCAAGTCAGCGGGTTTTAACTCCCGATCAATTAAATCTCGTAAGACAAGCAACAGTGCTGGGAACCGAATCTATCCGTAATCAACACGGGGAAGTCAACAGTGTCAAGCTAGTGGATATAATACACGATACATTACACTATATTCATCGTTTTCTTGTAGTAACATACTTTTCTATATTCAAATCAGAATCACACTTTGTGTTAATAATCTTCTAATTTCCGTAATAGGACTTTAGGGGACCAATATCTAGTCTAAATAAATTAGATTCAAAATTTGTCAATAACCCTCTAATTTAGACGATAAAAAATCTAGTTCAGTTCGCCGTGGGCTGTCTGATACGGTGACCAAGATTCAGTGATTTATTAGATTCACAATGTGTGTTACTAATCTTCTAAGTCAGACGATAAAAATAATCTAGTTTTGGTTATCGTTTGGGGATTTCTAGTCACTGTGATGATGAATTGGTGATGTATTGAACTAAACTTGACATTTGTGGGGAAAACGATAAGTTGAAAACTGAGCATTACACCATAATGCCTTATAAAATATATATTCACGCGTTTTTAAAAAAATGTAACAGGATATATGTACCGTTATTATATCGTTGCTGAATGATCGATCGTTTCAGTCGCAAAACCTCTTCCTTACGTATGCTGATTAGTTGAGGCAAAGGATGATAATGATTAGACGACGATAATGTTTAGCACCATTTTATGAGTTATTGACCTAAACAATCAGCTCTGATCTGACGTTTTGCTGTTAGTCTATGTATGGGAGACACGACAGTCGTATCACAATGATTGCTATGGGGAACGAGTCTGGTTCAAGAAAGCTAACATTGCCCTACGATTATCATTGCGTATAGAACCTACAGACGTTACTCTACGCCCGTGTGGTGGAGCACGGCCCTGATCGCACGATTCACGTATATTGTACATATCTGGGAGAGGGATGACGCCTTTTTGCAGTCATGGCTTCAAATTCTGCAGTTATTTTCTTGGAAAGACCCAAATAACAAATTATCTTAAAAACATTCAGATATATTTATAAAACGAATGAAAAATATTATTATATTATTATCATTTACGGTTTTAATTTTTTTCCTAAAAATATCCCATTTTTTTTATAGCAGTAGAAATATAAATTTAGACGGAATATCCAACACAACTATATGTTATAATGGTTATAATGTTGATGTAGGGAAAAATGAAATGTATTTAATGATTCAGGCTGCCTGCTGTTGCCGCAATCATTTACGGGAGATCTATGCTTTCCATTACCGTTGACATCCGACCATGGCGGGTAATCAGCAGACATAAGGGAAGTGGCGACACACGTGTGAACATGTGTCACAGAATGTGTCACATTGTGTGGACTGTTTGAGGTCACAGTTTGTGCAAGTGGAATTGGCTTTCCTTAGTTTTAAATCAAAACGATCCGTGTTCGGATGTTCTTGAGGATGACATTTGTATAAATCATCGTATCCTTCCGTATCATGGTATCAATAGAGGATGTGCTATCGGCAATTCTAGTTGCATCGTGGTTTATATAATTCAGGGGGCAGGGATGGCTCGTTGTCTAAGGTGCATCGATTCGCTGTGTACAGTTGCGTCCCTTAGTCGTGCCAGGATCACCGTATCGTGGGTTCGAATCCCAGATTTTACCCTTATTATGATCAATGGTTTGTCAGCGCAATCCCAGTGGGTTTCGCCAATGTGGTAAATGTCAACCCCCTGCCACCTTCGCCCAAATCATCACATATGGTTTGGATTGCAATACCGTCCAGCTGGTGTCATCCCAAAACTTCTACATGCCAAAACTTCTACAGCTTAAAACAACAAAGTTTATGGTCCACTGCCCCACTAATCTCCTGGCTATTACCTTTATGGCATTGATTGGAACAGTCCAATTAATTAAGTGTACAACATACAACAAAACAAAACATTTTGAAGACAATGAAGACAATTTACTCATATAGCACTGGTATAAATAAATAGTACACACACTTTTTGCACTAGACTACTTACTAATTTAATGTAAGCACTGGTATAAATAAATAGAACACACACTAATTTAATGTCACAACTGGCCTCACTCTGTCACATACAGCACTAAAATTACTGTTTCAAGTCTCTTAACCAAGTTTGAGAAGATGACCAACAGCATCAAGGAACTCAATAGGGGTTTTCTGTCCTTGAGTCAACATGTCCTTAAGACGTCTAAGGCGATTTTCAGTCTCTCTGTAAACTCGCTTCCTGCTGGGTGGGGCGGCACCAAAGTCTAACTGTGCGATTTGTGTCCTGTCTGCACACAATCTTCTTAATCACTTCTACTTCGGTAGATATTCGGGTGGCGGTGGGGTAAGGTTCTGTTAAGGCGATGGTGAAATCCCTCAAGATTGTTGTTGGTGCGAGGGCCGGCTGTCTGGTGGTGATTCTGTCTTGTAAGTTGCTTTTCCTACATACACATGAAACCTTTTGATCTTAAACAGTGTATAATTGTGATTTCCTAAACCAGTTAATTTAATTGCAAGTGACGGGTCTTTTTATTATAATCTTCTTCATCTCCAAATAAGTTGTTTTCATTAGGTACATCTGTAACTATATAATCTTCCCAAAGTACCCTTCCTTGCCTTTCTAAAACAACATCGTAAAGAAGCTAATGAGTCGTCTTAATTACAGGAGGACTATACCTTTATAACAATAGGTAAACTCAATCAGCCATGACAACTCTCTGTAGATGTTTTGGCATGTAGACGTTTTGGCATGTAGACGTTTTGGCATGTAGAAGTTTTGGCATGTAGATGTTTTGGCATGTAGACGTTTTGGCATGTAGACGTTTTGGCATGTAGAAGTTTTGGCATGTAGACGTTTTGGCATATAGAAGTTTTGGCATGTAGAAGTTTTGGCATGTAGACGTTTTGGCATGTAGACGTTTTGGCATGTAGAAGTTTTGGCATGTAGACGTTTTGGCATGTAGAAGTTTTGGCATGTAGAAGTTTTGGCATGTAGACGTTTTGGCATGTAGAAGTTTTGGCATGTAGATGTTTTGGCATGTAGATGTTTTGTCATGTAGACATTTTGGCATGTAGACGTTTTGGCATGTAGAAGTTTTGGCATGTAGAAGTTTTGGCATGTAGACGTTTTGGCATGTAGAAGTTTTGGCATGTAGAAGTTTTGGCATGTAGACGTTTTGGCATGTAGAAGTTTTGGCATGTAGAAGTTTTGGGAGTGAATAATGTAACCGTGGCAGCGTAATGAAACCATGTGACATTATACAAGTGAGTGGGTTTGGATAAAGGTAGCTTTTAGCAGTTATATCACGGTGTGTAAGCTAAATGTGGGAGGAAAGCCCGAAGTGATGCAAGTCTCAGACGTTAACCACTTTGGTGAAACCTACGAGCACTGGTATGGTGCTGGTGCTAAACAATCAGCTCTGATTTGACGTTTTGCTGTTAGTCTATGTATGGGATACACGACAGTCGTATCACAATGATTGCTATGGGGAACGGGTCTGGTTCAAGAGAGCCAACATTGCCCTACGATAATCATTGCGTATAGAACCTACAGACGTTACTCTACGTTATAATAGTTATAATGTTGATGTTACAGTAGGAAATATGAAATGTATTTAATGATTCAGACTGCCTGCTGTTGTCGCAGGTCTCAGACGTTTACCACTTTGGTGAAACCTACGAGCACTGGTATGGTGCTGACAAATCTAGAAACATGTGTTTCTGTCGTGCCCAAGAGACGTTACACTGCACAGAGGATTGCGACGCCTTACACATCTTTCCGAGGAAAGGGCGTTAACTGACGCTACGATCGAGCCTGGAAATTCTAGTTCGGCAACTTTTATAGTCAGTTAACGCCCTTGACTCGGGAAGATGCGCCTTACACGACTGGTCCACCCGTGTACCATGGATTATGTAACACTTGATTAACCATGAAACTGTTCAAAGTGTGACAAAGGCTCTTGTACTTGCAGCTGTACAACCCAGAGAAGCGGGAGTTCGAGACAGTGGACAAATACATCTGCCACAACTACAGTGTAGACCAAGTTCTAGTGGAAGGTACAGTGACGTCATATACAACTATGTCCAGTACCACATTTATTTATTTATTTATTTATTTATTTATTTATTTATTTATTTATTTATTTATTTATTTATTTATTTATTTATTTATTTATTTATTTAGTTATTTAGTTAGTTACTGTGGTTACAGGATGGACTACCTTGGTCGGCCATAATTATCCATTCAACACTACCGTAACGATATGTTATTATGTTTATCAATGAATCGTACATATATATATATACATGTTGAACTGTGTTCAGTCAGTCAGACTGGGACTGATTGCATAATTTCACAGTCCCGTAAACACGTAATTATTCTATCTGGGCCTATAAGATGTAAATGCCTGTGGATACGAATATGGGATCGACTGAGTGATTTTCTGGTGTGTTTGTTGTGTGTGTTCGTTCATACATGACGATACGTATTTTGAAGTGATGAAGGTGTCAAGCATTTACCACTTTGGTGAAACCTGCGAGCACTGGTATGGTGATGAAGGTGTCAAGCATTTACCACTTTGGTGAAACCTGCGAGCACTGGTATGGTGATGAAGGTGTCAAGCATTTACCACTTTGGTGAAACCTGCGAGCACTGGCATTGTGCTGACAAATCTAGAAACGCGTGTTTCTAGCGTGCCTAAGAGACACCACACTGCACAGGGAGTTGCGGTGCCTTACACATCTTCTCGAGTCAAGGGCGTTAACTGACTATAAAAGTCCAGTTTTTTTGGATACGAATTTTCGGACCGACAGATTGATTTACGGTGGGTGAGGGGTGGGCTGGTTCGGGGTGGGGTGGGGTGGGGTGGGGTGGGGTGGGGTTGGGTGGGGTGGGGTGTGCCGAGTCGATTTGAAATTGAAAAACATAATTCGTCCTCAGTGTTCACTGAAAAAAGATTGTTCCCTGGACATGCTGACTGTCCTGAAAAGCATACTGAAAAGTTGGTCCTCTTCTCATCAATTCAGAACGCACTATAGAGCAAGGGTTCCCGGGACTTTGGAATTTGTCTTTTAATCTATATTCGGTTGTAAAATTATCCCATTAACGTCAACTTGTGACATTGCAGGTTTAGGCAAGTATTTCGGCTTCCCTGAGAACCCAAGGAAAGATGTGATCCTGTGCCTTCTCCACAAGCTCCAGAGAATCCGACGATGGTTTCTCCGCCAGAGACAGTTCGCCTTTTATGCAAGCTCCCTATTAATAGTATATGAAGGTCTTCAAAATGACGACCAACAGATGAACAGGTCACAGGTGCCTCCATGTTGCGTGTCACCCGCCCATGGCCGTGACAAATGCCACAAAAGATCATCTTCCGATAACACTGGTGAACAGTGTAACTGTTCCGAGGATCCAAGTGCTCATGTTGATACAGATGCTGAACAACCATTGGACAACGTCACGCGACCTGTTTCTTCAGCGGGGCACTCATTGGCTACATGTGATATACCCGATTGTGTATTGGACAGTTCTGCAAGGTGTGGTTGTTTGGATGGATCTGCCTGCGTGGACTGTTCGTTAGTTGACGTGAGGTTAATAGACTTCACACATGCATTCCGAACGACGGAACGTGATGACAACTACCTCAGTGGACTCCAGATCCTCATCAATATCTTGTCTGTTATGTACCGATGGGGTTAAAAACCTGTACATTGCAGACCACAGAGTTTATGGACATTTACCGTTGTGCAGATCAGTATTATAGAGTTGTGTACGGTCAGGTGTAACTTCTGATTCTTATACTGGCTACAGCTTCAGGGTCTCATCCAGGATTTGAAAAGGGTGAGGTTCTTTGAGGGCAAGGGATTGTGGTGTTGGGGTTGGGGAGGATGCACGAAATGAACAAAAACACAAAGGACTGAACATAGGATGGGTGGGGCGTGGAGTAAAATCCCCGCTGCCTCCGCCTGTGAGTTGGAACCTGCATTCTGTTCGTGAGGGAAACATTTAAATGTCTACATAAACAAGAATAGGCCATCAGAAAGATTTGTGTTTCTTTTCAATTATTTCAGAAACATTGATATGATTACATTCCTTTTCTCTCTTGTGTACATGTGGAACACGTATAAGTGAGTATGGTTTTACGCCGCTTTTAGCAATATTCCAGCAATATCACGGCGGGGGACACCAGAAATGAGCTTCAACACGTATAAGATACGAACTATGGTTTACTAGCTATCTCTGAATGATTGGTCATGATGGTGCTACCTGATGATGCATGACGCCACTGCAGCTTGTTGACTGCTGAAAACAATACAGTAAACTACGGTTATAACGAACTCAAAGGGACCATCCATTTTAGTTCGTAATAACCGTAGTTCGTTATAAGCATATATACAGCATATATGCAACACATGGCCGAGGCTAACAAGTAAGTTCGTTATATCGGTCAGTTCGTTATAAGCGTGTTCGTTATAACCGTAGTTTGCTGTATTTCATTCCACATCAATACGGAATGGACAGCCATGCGGACATATAGATCATACCCGGGTGTGTTGTTTTGTTTGTAATTTACCACTGCACGGCAATATTTCAGCCACATGACGGTGGTCTATACAATAATTGAGTCTGGACCAGACAATCCAGTGCTTAACATCATGAACATCGATCGACGCAATTGGAATACGATGACATGCATCAACCAAGTCAGCAAGCCTGACCACCCGAACACATTAGTCGCCTCTTACTACAAGCATGGGTTGCTGAAGACCTATTCTACCCCGGATCTTCACGAATATCCATTTGCCATATCTTTTGAACCACGGATTTGTATACAAAGATGATACATGGATGATTGTGGATACTAGAAGTATTATTGACAGAATGAGTATGGAATAGTCATATATTGAAACAACTTCCGCCACGTTCCAGTGTGCCATGTGGTAGTCACGTGCACGAAAAGTTCCACTATGGATCCCTGTCAGAGTTGGCTGAAGTTCTATTGACCTGAGACGCAAAGGACAGATGCCAAGCCAACCCATAGTTTTTGGAGTGTTGAGGACACGGGACATTGAACACCATAATCACTCGTACTATTGCTTCATGTGGCCTCTCTCACTCACTCACTCACTCATCCACTGATGCAATTCACATTAGAAATTATTGAATTATATACAATCTCTTTAAATCACACGTATTATTCCGATTTGATACCTCTATCGCCATAGCTTCAATTTTAACGTGAAAATTAGAAGGCCAGAGGTCGTTTCAGTGAGGTACATATACATATCGAGTAAATCAGATATTTGTACTCATATTCCTGAAAGAGATATCGAATCGGAGAGAGCGATCCGATCTTTATTTACAGACATGGGTATTAAATCGGATCAAAAGATTTGAGTGAGTGAGTATGATTTTACGCCGCTTTTTAGCAATATTCCAGCAATATCACGGCGGGGGACACCAGAAATGGGCTTCACACATTGTACCCATGTCGGGAATCGAACCCGGGTCTTCGGCGTGACGAGCGAACGCTTTAACCACTAGGCTACCCGACCACCCCTCAAAAGATTTGATTTGATTGAGATTGAGTGATATGATCACGTGAATGATTCATAATCTATTGGAATGAATCATTTGCTGGTCTGTTAAGCGACGAGTTATCATGACATTTCTGATTTCTGATGAACGCTGAGTCTATTGTGATTCATATATGTCGCCGAACCAAGTCCGATATTACTCTGGCGCCGAACCAAGTCCGCTATCACTCTGGCGCCGAACCAAGTCCGACATTACTCTGGCGCCGAACCAAGTCCGACATTACTCTGGCGCCGAACCAAGTCCGACATTACTCTGGCGCCGAAACAAGTCCGACATTACTCTGGCGCCGAACCAAGTCCGACATTACTCTGGCACCGTGCCAAGTCCGACATCACTCTGGCGCCGAACCAAGTCCGACATTACTCTGTAATACAGATATGGTTTTAGACTTATTATTTCACATAAAAGGCACATACATCTGGAAAAAATCTAGGCACCGCTTGCTACATATAATACAATATATTCATATTCCATACAACATAGACTTTTTTTAAAAACGGGAACGTGTTAAATTTCTGACAGTGCACCCTTACAAATTGACAAACTCAGTAAAATACAGAAACCGGAATCGATTCTGTAATATGTTTTGTGACTGTTCCATGGTAACAGTTATTTGACCCTTTCGATGTCTTTCTCTGCTTCGGGGTCACGGCTGGCCCCGTCGTCTAAGGCGCCGCGATTCGCTGTGCAGAGTTGCGTCCCATGGGCACGCCAGAAACCTATGATTGTGGCTTCGAATCCCGGTTCGCCCCGAATAAGTTTCTAGTTTTGTCAGCACCGTACTCGTGCTCGTGGGTTTCACCGAAGTGGTAAACGTTTGAGACCTGCATCACGTCGGGCTTTCCTCCCACATTAAGCTGACACGCCGTGATATGACTGAAATACTGTTAAAAAGGGCGTTAAAACCCAACTCACAGTCACTCACTCACTCACTCACTCACTCACTTCCTCTGCTTCATTCAATCCCTTGTTATCATTCAGTACTCGTTTTTTTGTTAAAAAACACAGTATTCTTGTTCCATCTTTCAGCAGGTACCGGTGGCATCACAGGTATTCACCAACATTACATCTGATTTACACGTAGACACGTCCAACACATACACCGAAGTTCGAGATATGAAATGAGTGGTGCTTAACTTATCTCAAGGTGTATTTTTTCACAGGGCATCATGAAACACTAATTATTCATGTTTTAAATAATACATCGACAAATTTCAACTCTGATTTCAATATGTTTTTTCTTTTTGTAATTATTAGACAAAATTGTGAACTCGATGTCCTGGGCCCAGTTGCATAAACCGATCGTAGTGCTGAGACGTATTGAATACTGTAAGGGACATTCTCGCGATCTCGACCTTTGGAAACGAGGTAAATATGCCCAAAACACGAGAATGCGAGATCGCGAGAACGCGAGATTTTGGCCAAATCTCGCGTTCTCACGATCTCGCATTCTCGTGTTTTGGGTATATTTACCTCGTTTCCAAAGGTCGAGATCGCGAGAATGCGAGATCGCGAGAATGTCCCTTACAGTTCATAGAGACGAGCATGACTCACATACATACACGCATGGAAGTCGTAGCGCTACGATCGCTTTGTGAAGCAGGGGCCCTCGTAATCATCGAAAATATACCTGTATCTGTAGTTCGAAAAAAGCCGTTAGAAATCTTCTGTCGGTACCATACAATTACACCGTCTTAAACGATATTTCGAGTTGATGAAGTTCGATTTAATGGGTTTTAATCTTCCATAGTAACTTTGATAAATGAGGTAGCAAGGTTATGTTGCGTTCTCTGCCAGACGCGGTATGCGCACATTGTATTTTGTTTGGTCCAAAGGTCACGTCGTGATAAAAGGTTATTTATAATGGGCAGTTAAAATTCAATGTTCATTGACTGTATAAACGGGACATGTTTACACTGCTCGGAATACAAAGAGGAACGCATAGCTAAAGTACTCAGGGAAATGAAAAAAACCCTGTTTTGCTGGATTTAATAATCGACACAAAGCATTACGTAGATGTATATACGAAATAACAAAACAGCTGGAAAAGTACTAGTCTGGATTTGCTAGTTTTATCCCAGTGCTCAATACAAAAGGTACTTCACAGGAGGTAATTTGTAGGCACTTTCAACATTGACATGGCAGAAACAGGCTATAGGCATTATGCAAATTAGCCTGGAAAAAAAGTTATCAAAACAACAATAAAAATAACAGCTATGTTTATGTACATAATAATAATGACATGTAAGTTGTTGTTTGAGAAGGGAATATGTTACTTTTACGTTCTGATATTTTGACGATGATTCACTATCCCACAATGCCACTCACAAATCACTAACCACTGACAAATCACATGCACGTGGGTTTCAAGCACCTGTTTTAACCTGTCGTCAATGTGTCATAGGTCATGAACATTCACCTCACCATGCTCAGTTTCACAATAGTCTGTTTTGTTCATATTTTTACACACTTTTACGTGTAAAAAGACATAAAAACCTTTGATACGCTGTATTTGTGCCAATGCCCAATTAGTACTAATTGAGTTGTTTGAATATTTATATATTTTGTATATTAACTGCATTTATTTAAAATCTGAGATCGAAAAAAAAGGGTTTTTTTCATTTCCGTGAGTCCTTTAGTCAAGGCAGGTATGTAGCACAATTGTTTACATTTTATTGCATCAAATGCCTGTGTCACCTGGTTTCGTCAAATGATATGGACGTCACTGTTTCTGCACAAGGATACGGGTGGCTCAGTCGTCTCAGGTGCCACAATTCGCCGTGCAGAGTTGTGTCCCCTCGGTTTTTCAGAAACTGATGAATGTGGGTTCGAGTCCCAGATTCGTACTGATTATGTTTCTTTATTTGTCAGCACCACACCTGTGTTTCGTGCATGGCTTCGGGTTTTCCTCCCACATGAAGATGACACGCTTTGATGTAACTGAAATACTGTTCAAAGCGGAATAGAACCAAACTCACCTACTTACAAAGATGAGATGAGGTGAAATGGGGCTTAACGTCGCGTCCAAAATTATTGCACTTACATAGCGACGTGCATGCACGTGTGTGTGGCTGCTTGTACTAGTCCGGACTGATGCCGATTGTGCTTGCCCACTGAGATACCATGCCGCAGTTTAGCATGAATACCCCACTCAGACACAGTATACTGACTCCGTGCCGACCAGTCCTTGTTTTAGCCCCTTAGTGTCGAACGCCAGGCAGGGTAACAACAAGTACCATCTTTTAACGGCTTTTGGTATGACGCGGCCGGGATCGAACCCGGACCTTTCGCTCTCCGGGTGGACGCTCTGCTACTAGACCACGGAGGCGGTCCACTTACAAAGATGTTTATGCGTGTAGCAACTCGATTAATGACAGTATAGTAAATTCTACCTCTCATAAATCGTCAATATGTCACTGGTATGTATAGAAGCCCGTGATGTATTGGCGTTGACGCTCATACAGATGACAGTAAACATAAAGGAATTGTTTGATAGGTTGTATTTTGTTGTTTAACGCCGCACGGAAATATTTCAGCCATGTGACGGTAGTCTATAAAATAATCGAGTCTGGACCAGACAATCCAGTGCTTAACATCATGACCATCGATCCACGCAATTGGATTACGATGACATGGATCAATCAAGTCAGCGACCCTGACCACCCGATCCTGTTAGTCGCCTCTTACGACAAGCATAGTCGCCTCTTACGGCAAGCATGGGTTGCTGAAGACCTTTTCTACCCCGTATCTTCACAGGCCAGGAACCACATGTCCTTCAATAACATGTACATTGTATTAACCTTTCCAAGATGACAGTTCTGTGAGCCTGACCACAAGAATGTCTATGGTACTAAGTTTTATTAATAAATGACTGTATGCATGTCCTGCACGACTTTTGTTCGATAAAAAGACTCTTTCCATAATCGTAAGAAAGTCCATGGTATGATTCCGTCAATATAATGAGCATGTGTTCCAGGTTTCCGCGAAAAGGTGAGCGTATCCTGCCCAAGCGATGGCACCAGTAATAAACACACGCACAGGCTAGTCAACTGTTCACCTGAAAGAACACGGCAACATTTCGTACAAGTCAAAATAGGAAATTGCATCGAATATAATTTTGATCAGTGATGCATCAAATGCACACTTTACGCAGGACCTGTTAACTGTGTCTATTATCAGTTATTATATGTCTGTCTGTCTTTGTGTTAATTAGGGATTGTCTATACATTATTAAAAAGACATTACAACTAACCAACAACTCGTAAAACCAAACATTGTTTCTCCAGCAAATTTCAACGTAACTAGATCATCTTGTAGTTTCCCTTGTCGCCCGTTGTTCTTGGTCGACAGGGGGCCGGTCGGGTAGCCTTGTGGATAAAGCGTTCGCTCGTCACGCCGAAGACCCGGGTTCGATTCCCGACATGGGTACAATGTGTGAAGCCCATTTCTGGTGTCCCCCGCCGTGATATTGCTGGAATATTGCTAAAAGCGGTGTAAAACCAAACTCACTCACTCACTTGGTCGACAGGACATGGTGTTATGGTTTACGTTCTTCAGGATGTGTTTTGTTGTCCTTACATGTACATATATATGTTCTCTGCCTCATGGATTTCATTCACCTAATGAAGGAGTAAGCATATACTCCGAAAAGTTGTGTTCCTCATGATACAGAAGTTGACATCCATATATTCTCTTCCTTAACGCAAGTGTGTCTGTTACCTGTGCTTTTCTTCCTTGCTGCATTAAGTGTGTTTTCATACCCAATGAGACCTGTGAAGATCCGGGGTAGAATAGGTCTTCAGCAACCCATGCTTGACCACAGGCCCCTGAAGCCTGTGTGCTTGACGTAAATGGCGACTATGCTTGTCGAGGCAAAACCAGATATTGTTTTGTTTATAACTATGAGCCTGACTTTTCATTAAGAAAAAAGACCTTGTAACAATGTATTTTTTGTGGCAGGCAGTTACGTTATATTCAAAGGTCTGAAGCATATGAAGTTTTTCAAGAAATTTCAGGGGCAATGTAATTTTTTTCGATAGAAGGTAGAGTTGTCGCCCTTAGTATTTTTTATAACTTGGGTCTCGGGTTCAAGTCCCCAAATCAATCTGATTATCACCCTTCATTTTGTAGCACCATCAACACAGGCGAATTTTACTATGATGACAAGCCTCTCGTGGCCAGCATAAGTTGCTGAGGACCAATTCTATCCTGGAATACACACAGAGGTATCCCATAATAGGCTGAGCTGGAAATACTTTGGGCAAGTTTAACCGCAAGACACGCACCCACTCTCGCTATATCGATGCAACTGTTAGTAACTACCCTATCACCACAGTGGAGTTATCCAAGCCACCAACAATCAGAGTAGAATTGCAGGCCTACCAAAGAAAACGAGCTACCAAACTATGGAATTATACACACATTACATAGAAATTGCAACACACATTACAAAGACACACTCCCCATAAAGATTGCATACTGATAAGAACCCCGCTCAATTTCAATGGAGTGAGTGAGTATGGTTTTACGCCGCTTTTAGCAATATTCCAGCAATATCATGGCGGGGGACACCAGAAATGGGCTTCACACATTGTACCCATGTCGGGAATCGAACCCGGGTCTTCGGCCGGACGAGTGAACGCTTTAACCACTGGGCTACCCGACCGCCCCTAATTTCAATGGAACTAAACACAGGAAGTCACGCAGATACGTTTGTAATTTATAACATTTGTCATTTTGGGGAGATAATTATGCTTTCCACAAGTGCCATGTTGAAGGAAACTTGTCTAGCATCCTGTAATTCTAGATACAATAATAATAATTTTCAGTTATTTTGTCTTCCAACTTTCATGTTTATTAACTGTTAGATGTTATGATGATTGGAAACTGTGCTGTATTTAAACCTGAAAAATATTTCATTTTCATAAAAGTGGAACAGGTTTGAATTTTGAATGTTTCACTTTTCTTATTGGTCAATGGGGTTTGATGGACAGGTTGCAGAGGTTAATTAAACCTTGACCATCCAACCAGTGTGGGTCACTGTACTGTTGATGTGTGATGACATGCAGGTCAGTTGAAAGGTGACAGCTGAAGATCTGGGGTAGAATAGGTTTTCAGCAACCCATGCTTGCTGTAAAAGTTGTCTATGCTTGTTGTAAGAGGGTGGTCAGGCTGGCTGACTTGGTTGAAGCATGTCATCGTATCCCAGCTGCGTGGATTGATGCTCATGATGTCAATCACTGGATTGTCTTGTCCAGGCTCGATTATTTACAGACCGCCGTCATATAGCTGGAATATTGCGGAGTGCGGCGTTCAACAACAAACAAACAGTTGAAAGTTTGTGTGATCCACTCGCCAAACATACAACAATTGGTCATACTCAACAACTATTTTGATCAACAGATTCACATCTTAGTTGCCCTTAATGATAGCAACAGGTTTGTTTGTTTGATTGTTTGTTGTTTAACGCCGCACTACGCAATATTCCAGCTAAATGACAGCGGTCTGTAAATCGAGTCTGGACCAGACAATCCCCAATCATTAAAATTAAAACTGTGATCGGTGATTGTATGTCACAGGTTTTGTATTAAATAAAGAATAACAACTCAAAACAAATCTATTGTTATGATATAATTTGCATATACAAAAAAGCACACATTTAAAATATATGGATTTAAAGTGTATAAAAATACAAACTTAACAAAAATGGTAACATGATCTAGTATAATTCATAATGTTATATACAGTAAACCTTAAAACCCTTGTACTTATATTAAGACTGAAATTGATGAAATATTGTCAGGATATGGCCAAAGTATTTTTTAGTAATTTTAATTGTCAGATCTGCACACCCCCATACATCACTTGTAAAAGGGGGACCATCAGTACTGGTGCTGGGTCTTTCTGCATCACCTTGACTGCATCCTTGTCACAATTAAACTCTGTAATCAAAATAAATTGACAATCTAAATCTAAAAGTCTGATGGTCTATACCATATTAGTTTCAAATACTTTAAAATTCTCTCTTTCATAATACTATGGAAACATTTCTCTTTCAGGTGTAGTAGTGGCTTATTCAAAAAACTAATATAGGCCATAGGCCCAGGTTATACATGACAATGACATTATTGAATAAACTACTACAACTACAAATTATTTTTTTCTGTTGCAGTTTGATTGTTGGCTAAAATTTCTTTACATTTATTATAATAAACTAATCATGTTGTGCCTAGCATGTAGTGATTACTAGTCCAGTGCAATCTCATTAAAATCAGATCTTAGTTCTCCCTATCTTTGTTTAGCAGCAGCGACAACCTAGATCTGATTTTAATGAGATTGAGTCCAGTGAATACTAAATATTACACAGCTTGTATGACTTTCTGTTTGAACTTTTTAAATATAGCTGCATATTATAGAATAAAGATAGAATATACCAGTTACCACTTCATGAATACATTACACATGATTCCTTATGAAATGATTGGTTAAGCAATCAATTATTATTACAATAACACCCACCCCCACCCCACCCACCGATTTTGCCACACCCTCTAAGGGACAACAGTTTCCAGACTTGCTTACTTTTTGTATTATTGTCTACAGATTGTTTGTGTTACTGACAAAAAAACAGTCTGTAAAGTTATTACTGTCCATATATTTATCAATAAGAAACGAATTCAATATATATTTGCATTTATGGAAGTACAAACGTAAAAAACGGTACAGACACTTTGCATAAATCTGCCGTGCTGAATTACACAGTTTGCACAAAAGTTTTATGTTATTACCCCCATAAACTCAAAGATTATTGAAGTCAATTTCTAAATATAGTATTTACCACTTTTTATATTATATGTCTGATGCAGCAATGAAAATGAATACAGATATTAAAGTTGTTGTTTATCATGACTTTGTACACCTTGGAGTAGAGGCACAGCCATGGCTCAGCTTAGATTTGTGTCGGTCTTCAATGAAGAGCAATCCCTGGACCAATGAACCATATCAATCTCTAAAATATCTCAATCAAGGGTTTTGGAAATTTGATGATCAGGTGATTAATTTAGTGTGACCTTCACATAGGTAAGTAAAATAAATTCTATTTCAATAACATTTAATAATGTGTGGAAGTACATTCAAGCATGTCTTCCTTGTTTCCTGTTCTGGACATGGGTATGACTCACATGGCAACTGCTGTTATGTACATTGTGAGAATATCACAGGTCTGTGTTAGCCATGAGTTCTGTACATCTTTGTATAATAGAACATGTATGTATATATTCCTATAACTCCTATCCATGTGTTTCTTCTAAATATTCATATTGAGCAGTATTTACTGTTCGATATACTTCCAGGGATATCACAGGTCTGTGTTAGCCATGAGTTCTGTACATCTTTGTATAATAGAACATGTATGTATATATTCCTATAACTCCTATCCATGTGTTTCTTCTAAATATTCATATTGAGCAGTATTTACTGTTGATATACTTCCAGGGATATCACAGGTCTGTGTTAGCCATGAGTTCTGTACATCTTTGTATAATAGAACATGTATGTATATATTCCTATAACTCCTATCCATGTGTTTCTTCTAAATATTCATATTGAGCAGTATTTACTGTTGATATACTTCCAGGGATATCACAGGTCTGTGTTAGCCATGAGTTCTGTACATCTTTGTATAATAGAACATGTATGTATATATTCCTATAACTCCTATCCATGTGTTTCTTCTAAATATTCATATTGAGCAGTATTTACTGTTGATATACTTCCAGGGATATCACAGGTCTGTGTTAGCCATGAGTTCTGTACATCTTTGTATAATAGAACATGTATGTATATATTCCTATAACTCCTATCCATGTGTTTCTTCTAAATATTCATATTGAGCAGTATTTACTGTTCGATATACTTCCAGGGATATCATAGGTCTGTGTTAGCCATGAGTTCTGTACATCTTTGTATAATAGAACATGTATGTATATATTCCTATAACTCCTATCCATGTGTTTCTTCTAAATATTCATATTGAGCAGTATTTACTGTTCGATATACTTCCAGGGATATCATAGGTCTGTGTTAGCCATGAGTTCTGTACATCTTTGTATAATAGAACATGTATGTATATATTCCTATAACTCCTATCCATGTGTTTCTTCTAAATATTCATATTGAGCAGTATTTACTGTTCGATATACTTCCAGGGATATCATAGGTCTGTGTTAGCCATGAGTTCTGTACATCTTTGTATAATAGAACATGTATGTATATATTCCTATAACTCCTATCCATGTGTTTCTTCTAAATATTCATATTGAGCAGTATTTACTGTTCGATATACTTCCAGGGATATCACAGGTCTGTGTTAGCCATGAGTTCTGTACATCTTTGTATAATAGAACATGTATGTATATATTCCTATAACTCCTATCCATGTGTTTCTTCTAAATATTCATATTGAGCAGTATTTACTGTTCGATATACTTCCAGGGATATCACAGGTCTGTGTTAGCCATGAGTTCTGTACACCTTTGTATAATAGAACATGTATGTATATATTCCTATAACTCCTATCCATGTGTTTCTTCTAAATATTCATATTCAGCAGTATTTACTGTTGATATACTTCCACAGCACGTACCACAAATAAATAATTTTCATAAAGAACATTAAATACAATTTTTAAACATGTGATTAGGAATATTCACAACTACTTTTAGGTCTATTTACAGTAAAAAAATGTATTTTTAAAGAATTGAGCAGAATGACCTGGGTCAAGGTAAAAAAAGAGAAAAAGGTCAATGTCAATGTACACAAAGTGATTCAATACTTTGAACAAAATCTCAAGCAAGCAGAAGTACAGGAAACTTAGGAAATGTTTGTAAATGTTTGTAAATGTCAACAACAATCATGCTGAGATATGGCTATGTGAAGCTTACACTGTGAAGAGTTGCATCCCTTTGGTGTAACAGGATTCGAAATTCTGGTTCGCCCTGATTATGTTTCTAGGTATGTCAGCACTGTTTCACTAAAGTGGTAGTGGAAGTGCTTCACTTCAGGCTTTCCTCCAACATCAAGCTGACACACTGTGTTATAACTGGAATACTGTTCAAGGAGGCGTTAAATCAAACTCACATAATTGGACGGATTAAAAAAATATTGACAAAACATTCACAGACATCACATGTGTTGTAGAGGTAGACAGTTCAGACATCGCTGGTGCAGACAGAGAACAGTGTGCTTCAAGGTCAAGGCGGGACAATCAGCCATTATCTCAATTTACAGTGTGTAGTGTCGTGAAAGTGTTGATGGATGTTAACCTGTCCATAATATGGAACAGACCCAGAACACAACACAAGATAAACAAGCACTCTTTCACTTACTCATGCAGTGGTAAGCACATTTTTATGTACTATTCTCCTACAACAACTTCAAGGACTATGAAACAGTAGAAGCTAGTTTCCAGAAAAAGTCTTAAATACTGAAAATATTATAATACATTCTGTGCAACGAACAGGCACAGATTGTTCATTGATAAATAATGCAGAATTCCATTTCATCCCTGGAAAAATAATCTTTCCTTTTTGAGTTGTCAATTCACTTATACCATGTAATTCAGCTATTGTTGTTAAACAAATGTTGACAGAGGTCAAATTAAAGAATTTGCACTACATTATGAACCTAGTCATGCTTGAAAATGATATACAAACAACTTGAAATTTCAAGATGTTGTTTCAGTGATCTTCTGCAATGGTTAGTTAAATTACATTTTTATATTCTGAATGGGATTTCAAGTTGTTAAAAAGCTTATAGTTCATTTTTATCCACCATTTAAATCATACATTCAATATTTAAGTGATGCCTTTATTTATTAGCACTTTGCAAAGCAGTCCTTTCAGAGTTTGGCAAAACATGCCGTGAAATCATTCAGGATCTTGTTATTAATTGATATCCTGTTGAAACTATAGATTATGTCTGCTTTTATCTACCTGCAGGTGTAACATTCAGGATCTTGTTATTGATGGATATCCTGTTGAAACTATAGATTATGTCTGCTTTTATCTATCTGCAGGTGTAACATTCAGGATCTTGTTATTGATGGATATCCTGTTGAAACTTTGTTGATGAAAACCTAGTGAATCTGATCATGGAGAGTTGATTTAATTCCGTTTCCAAAACAAGCAGAAAATAAAGACTTCCAGTAATTTACTGGAATTGCCATCTCCCTGTTCGGTGTTGTATTGAAAAGCATATGTTGTGATAATATCTTCCACAAAACTGCTTAGATATAGTAGCATAATCTTCCTCACATACTGGAGATTCTGGATCCATTATGCAACAGTTGATGACTTTTTCGAGCCACCCAATTTATCCGGGAACTTTGACCACCGCCCAGATTTGATAGGCGGCAGTTTAGTAGAACTGTCAGATCCTTTACTGGTGAGGTTCCCCCGTGAGAAGGAAGTGTCCTCCCCACTAGGGGGCGAGTCCGGAACTTCATACGAGAAGTTTAATGCGGTGATATCACTCTCAGTGGGCTTGATGCCGGTAAAACCAAGACTCTTGAGTCGATCACTGACCGGCAGTTTATCTGGAAGCTGGACGTCCTTGAAGTCCTGAAATGTGGATTGTAACATGCATCATACAATCATCATAACATCAGTCTTCGTAAATAATGTTTGTTCGATACCTGTGGACTACTAAATAGTTCTGAGCAATTGTACAAATCCAATGATGGTAGTCCTCATAGGCTAGCAGTATGTGAGGGTCATGAAATTGAACCAGTTCTGAGTGCTTCGAGCAGAAAATATATACATAGCAAACATTTTTGTCTTGTTCAAGCAGGACAAGCTACAAAAAACAACTAATTTTCAAACTCTATAAAGTTTCCACTTAAAAAAATAATTTTAAAGGCAGAACATGCCAACATGCAAAAAATATGGGTGATGTAGGTGGTGATGTAGGTGGGTGTCATGAAAAAATGACACAGAGAAAGAGGGTCTGGGGGGTCACAAGATTATTATATATTTTAACGTTATTAAGGGACTGGTATATTATTGTAGGGAGGTGGAAGTACATGAAGAAATTTTATATGCATTATTTATTTATTTATTTATTTATTTATTTATTTATTTATTTATTTATTTATTTATTTATTTATTTATTTATTTATTTATTTATTTATTTATTTATTTATTTATTTATTTATTTATTTATTTATTTATTTATTGGGGGGGGGGGAGAGAGCATGAAGAAGTGTTAAATAAAATTGGGTTGGTGGTCAGCAAAATATCATACAGTCCTAACACCAATCCCACATGTTCTTCCCACCCCCCACCTCCCTAAAAAAAAATCATATTTGACAACATGCACTGTATGCTGCCCATGATGCATTACCGTGGTGGTCAGTGCCTGGTATGGAGAACACAGCTTGCCAAATCTGGACGTCGTGCCTCGGTTGATCTCGCCGAACACAGTCCGGCGCTCCTGGCGGTCTAGCTTCTTACGGGCAAACTCCTTCTCTACCTTCACCCCAAGGAATGTCTACAAGAGAGAACTGACATATGTAAATATCTTCTCCCAATTACAGTTTAATTGACACATAAAGGTTGAAACAATGAGTGCATTAACTTTTCGATATTTGCAAATGTGCGTTTTAGCAATTGTCCATGCTGATTGTCCATTTGCACTAGGATAACACCCTGCTCCATCCATCTTCCGGGGCCTGATTGTGTTTCTAGGTTTGTCAGCACCATACCTGTGCTCATTGGTTTCACAAAGTGGTAAACATCTGAGATCTGAATCACTTCGCGCTTTCCTCCCACATTAAGCGGACACATTGTGATATAACTGGCATACTGTTCAAAGCAGTGTTAAACCCAACTCACTCACTCATCTTCCAGAGGCAAGGGGGATAACTGACTATAAAAGTCAACTTTCCACTGGACTACAGTCAGTTACCTCCCTTACCTCAGGAAGATGTCCTCCATTGTTCAGAACAATACAATAGGATGTCCTCCATTATTCAGAACAATACAATAGGATGTCATCCATTGTTAAGAACAATACAATAGGATGTCCTCCATTGTTCAGAACAATACAATAGGATGTCCTCCATTGTTAAGAACAATACAATAGGATGTCCTCCATTGTTAAGAACAATACAATAGGATGTCCTCCATTGTTCAGAACAATACAATAGGATGTCCTCCATTGTTCAGAACAATACAATAGGATGTCCTCCATTGTTCAGAACAATACAATAGGACATGGGTATGACAATGAGTAATAAACAGAAGAAACTATTACAAAATATGAAATTATGGATTATCTGTCCACCAGGAATTACTACTGTAGGTACCTTACGCTGTAATTATCAGAATACTATCTGACATATCTCTTATACAGCTGAAAAATACAAAATGATCAATAACATGTACAGCAACTGCAAAATCTTAAAAGCAATAAATAAAAATCAGACCATTTTAATAGTAAAAAAGCACAAAATTCTCAAGAGTGCAGTGCAATGTGAAAACATTTCTGGCCTTTAAACAATTAAAAGCAATCTATTGGGGGGATACTGTACCTTAGAAGGGTCTGTTCTCTCAAACCCGAACGCGAATGTCTGTGACCGATACTTCAACTTGGCATCTCGGGGGAATTCACTGCTGACAGACTTGGCAGGACGGACAACTACAGACATAGGCCGTGCCTGTGAAAGTGTGATTGTGACAGAAATGTGCTGGTATGAGAAACGTGGTACAGAAAACAGACGTGGTGTAGTGCAGAGTTACAGGTCTTCATTCCAGGCTCTAATATACCGTATTCGACGTAATAAGCGCCCCGCTCTAATAAGCGCCCACGACAATATTTACTAATATATTGGTTAGTGAACAATCCCAATTACCAGCCCTTCCGATTGATCAATGTACACAAGACTTATTGATTCGTGTATGATAAGCACCCTAAATTATGGGCCATTAAATTCTCGAAAATATGTCTATCGTGTATAATACGCACAGATTCTTCTTTTATATCATTTCAGGCTGTGAGCATAAACCACAAAATTTACAATCTTTCAACTCTGTTTTTTATCTCACCAAAATTATATTCTAATAAGAGCCCCTTATTTCTAATTTTGAGAGCGCCCTGGGTGCTTATTAGGGCGAATACGGTAGTTACCTTAAAATTTATTTGTATTTGGACCTGGATCCCACTATAGGATCATTTATCAATTACTCAAATTTTGATATTTTGAAAAATTTCAAAGCAGTTAGTAAGTCTTGTATTGAATGATTTTATCTTTTAACTCACAGCAAATTTCCCCGATGGAATTTTGTGTGCAATTTGAAATTATTAACAGTGCAATATTTTATATTTTCCTCTATATACATAAACTTGCCCATAAACAATATTCATTAAAAATCTTTAATTTTGCGTGACTCATCAATTTGAAAGGTGGTGCTACTACATATATCAGTAAATTCAGTAACTATTCTGTAACGTGAGACTTGTTTGTTTCAAAGGTTGTGTTTTTATGTCATTTAATTTTGAATAGGCAATAATGACCTACAGTACATATTTGTGAGATCGTGCAACTAATGCACTTGATCTCTTCTGGCACTGTCAGTGTACAAGAGCAGGAGGACTACAAGAAGGGAAAGGGTCTCTTTGCCTCACAAGGATTGCCCAATTTGTAAACCTAAATACACGTTCACATGAAATAGAATGAGACTTGCATGTTATAGTCTGATAATGATACAAAATACACAGGTGAGGCTTAATGGGGGAAACATGGTAGAGTATTTTCAATGAAGTTTTATTCTGCAGAAACTGATTTTTATTTGTCATCAAACTTTGTAAACCCCTAATGTTTCCAAGATGATCCCCTCCAAAACTTATCGAGAACATTTTAGATTCAAATCTTCAAAAAATGGTTCCTCGCAATGCGTACACATTCATGAAATAAACATGATTTTTAACATTTTGATTTTATCATTTGCCTTGAAAAACAGTTTGTTCTTGACCCTGTAGTATAGCATATTGTTATTGTCTTCATCATTCTTAAAATCAAAATGCCATACACAGATATAATTTGTAAAATCAAATCAAAAGAGTGAAACAGAACTTATGGCAGGTTCAATAAATACACAGAAAAAAATGAATTGACAGACAATTTAATACCCCCTCATAGTCAAACATCAGTGATCCATGAACACAATACAGTAAATGATGAAGTTAATGCGAGCAAGAAATTAATGCAAGCACTGCTCGCATTAATAACGTGACACATTTATATGTGGACATATTGGATTTGCCACGCCACATTCACTGCACATGCTGGGCACAATCACATTAAAAAGCTCCCATAAGTATAAAAAAAAAAATGCCAGAGAATAATCGATCTCAATTATCTGTCGAATTGATTCGTAAAAGGCAAAAATCACAGTGTAAACAAAATGACTGGATCACTGGAAACCAGTGATGACACCAGGTGTTTGCAAAAAGGGTAAGCATGTCCTGTCCTATATGTAGCCCCTGGAAAGTGTAAACAATGTCATTGAAAGCTAATTAATTAATAAATAATGTCATCAAGAGCTTGATCGGGGTAGAGATAGGAAGTGCTACTCCCATTCATCTCATGACCAATTTTAGGCTAGGGGTTGGCACTCCCATTCATTTCATGCCCAATTTTAGGATGGGGGTTGGCACTCCCATTAATTTCATGACCAATTTTAGGCTAGGGGTTGGCACTCCCATTCATTTCATGACCAATTTTAGGCTAGGGGTTGGCACTCCCATTCATTTCATGACCAATTTTAGGGCAGGGGTTGGCACTCCCCTTCATTTGGTTAAGCACTAATTTCATGATTTACAATTTTGCTGTGAGTTCAAACTACAACATTTTGAATCTTGTGCCAGACAGACTCGTGAAGGAAGAAAACACAAACCCACTTCTAGTTTGGTCTTTGATTCAGGCTTGTCAGTCTCATCTTGCTGTTCCTCCTCAGCAGTTGTCTCCTCTTTGTCCTCTCCTCTCTCCAGTTCTTCCTCCACATCACTGTCCTCCCGAGGCGTAGAGGTCGTTGAGGTTTTCTTGGGGGCCTCCGTCCCCTCAGTGTTGGATTCATCTGTTAACATGCAATCTACATCAGATGTTCTCCAGTTATGTCCCCTCTAAGCCTCTCTCATGACCAATGAGACTCCACCTCTCATATCATTTGCGTTTGCTTCACCCAAAATGGTTGCGCCCAGTCAGGGCGATCTGATCGATAATCAAGATCTATATTGTGATAAAAAGGGTCTTACATCGCGAAATGCATCAAATCACGTGAGCACCTTGATTAAAAACATGAAAAGATTTGGAAAATATCTGCTGACATCGAGTTGGCGGTGCACATGCTTTGCAAATCCTGCAATTGACCGAAATCTGCACGACAGTTTTGGAACCGGATTTGGATTTCTGTGCCCGATTTTGATTGGACTATGCATGGACTCGTTAGTCCAGCCAAAATGTAACTCCATAATACCAGCCTAGTTCGACAAGGGTGGAAACTGGACTTTTATAGTCAGTTAACTCACTTGCCTCGGGAAGATGCACGTCACTATATAAGTGCAGTAATTATTGGCGCAATGATAACCCTATTTCACCTCACCCTACCCTCTAATAATCAATTTACTGTGGATTTATCCAAAAACATCACCATTGAGTCAACAACTGTACATCAAAAGAGTGGATTAAAATTATAGCTCTTGTGGTAGTGACTGCTCATACAGTTTCGCTTTTAGTCCATGTCTCTTGAAGTGAATGTCCACTATGGACGGTTTCATAACAAGTGACATCTTGACGCAAAAAGCAATTAATTCCCAAATAACAAAAATGCTGGAGTAATAAGCTGATTATCACAGCTCTAGGTTAATTACCTTTCTCTTCATCATCCATGTTGAAAGGTGTCTTCGGGTGGGCCCATGTGGAGGCATCGTTCAGATCCCATGGGAATTTCTATGTGGGTAATAGAGAAGTCAAGAGTTACCTCCCTTCTCTTAGAATTTCAATTGACATTTTCAATTGTTGTTCATAAGTTTTTGTAGCCTTGCCATAATGATTGAACTGTGCCATTGATACTGTGATACAAGTTTTTTTGTTTGTTTGTTTTTTAATGCCGCAGTCAGCAATATTCCAGCTATATGATGGTGGTCTGTAAATAATCATGTCTGGACCAGACAATTCTGTGATTGACATCATGAGTATCGATCTACGCAATTGGGACATGATGACATGATATTTTGATGATTTTCATATCAATACATGGGCATCTAGTTCTAGTGTTGGGTGATCTTTCTTTGCACCCATATTACTAATGTAAATTGGTAAATAATTGAAACTTAGCCAGCATGTAATAATATTAAGTGCACATATAGAGCAAAAGAGGCTATAATGTAGGGCTGGGCTGGTTAGTAAATGGATACCCAGGTACCCTGGACTGTATCATTATTCCCTGACCCTGGGGTATCTATGAACAAAGTGGGCTGTATGACTGTACATGGTTTCTAGTTTGGCCCTAGACCAGGTCTTAACAGTCAGTTTAAACCAGTCTGGTATATTCAAAACTTTTTGAATGAAAAACAAAGTCTAACCAACCAATATAAGTTGAAAAATATAAACCTACCATGGGGGTATTTTAACAATGGTTTAAGTGTTTGTGTCACATTTCTTCATCATTGAAATTTGCTAACAATCTGTATAGGCCTATGTAATATTTTGCTGATTGCAAAAATAATTAAATGAAACAAAGTCACACAGGTACACACACCGAACATGTTACCTTTATCACCAATCATAATATTTTTTGGTTGGTTGAAAGATAAAACAATAAAATAAAAATGTCAACAGTGCACTTGTTCAAGAACGTTTTGACTGCAGATGCATTATTTCGTTTGTTATAATTTAGGTCACGTGACCATGGGTCGGGGTAGTTGAAACAGGACCCAGGTAGAGGATATAGGAGAACCAACCCAGGTTATCAGGACATACACCTGTCTCCCACTGCAATCATGTCCGGCAGGGAATACACCAGTGGTCTACAAACACCTGGCATTTCCAAATTGACAGTCTAAGAGGCTCAGCACTTGGAGCTTGTAGAAACGTCTCCTACCTGACCGAAGGTCCCTACGTAGTAGCCCTCCATTGTCCAGAGGCGGGCAGTCTTGTCAGTGGAGGCACTGAGGATGAAGCCCCGGCTATCGTGTTCCAGGTACTCCACACTGACCACTGCTGCATCATGGGCCTTGAATGCTGCTTCCAGGGGCGGCCGTGTCCTGACTCGCTGTGGATGGCAGGGAGACTGGTGAGGGGCGTGGATCAATGTACAGGTCGACCACAGAATTGTCACACATGCATTCAACGTGGATAAAATGTCCTCCAACATATAAATATCAAACACCAGTCAGTCTTTTCCTAACAATCTTCATCGACAATTAGATAAACCTTTGCTCAGAAATGAATGTATGTTTTAACACCATACTCAAATGTCTAGTGTATGCTTTGACACCATACTTACATGTACAGTGTATGTTTTAACACCATACTCATATGTCTAGTGTATGTTTTGACACCATACTCACATGTCCAGTGTATGTTTTAACACCATACTCACATGTCTAGTGTATGTTTTGACACCATACTCACATGTCTAGTGTATGTTTTGACACCATACTCACATGTCTAGTGTCTTTTTTGACACCATACTCACATGTCTAGTGTATGTTTTAACACCATACTCATATGTCCAGTGTATGTTTTGACACCATACTCACATGTCCAGTGTATGTTTTGACACCATACTCACATGTCTAGTGTATGTTTTGACACCATACTCACATGTCTAGTGTCTTTTTTGACACCATACTCACATGTCTAGTGTATGTTTTAACACCATACTCACATGTCCAGTGTATGTTTTGACACCATACTCACATGTCCAGTGTATGTTTTGACACCATACTCACATGTCTAGTGTATGTTTTGACACCATACTCACATGTCTAGTGTATGTTTTAACACCAAAATCACATGTCCAGTGTATGTTTTGACACCATACTCACATGTCCAGTGTATGTTTTGACACCATACTCATATGTCTAGTGTATGTTTTAACACCATACTCACATATCCAGTGTATGTTTTGACACCATACTCACATGTCTAGTGTATGTTTTGACACCATACTCACATGTCCAGTGTATGTTCTTACACCATACTCACATGTCAAGTGTATGTTTTGACACCATACTCACATGTCTAGTGTATGTTTTGACACCATTCTCACATGTCCAGTGTATGTTTTGACACCATTCTCACATGTCCAGTGTATGTTTTGACACCATTCTCACATGTCCAGTGTATGTTTTAACACCATACTCACATGTCTAGTGTATGTTTTGACACCATTCTCACATGTCCAGTGTATGTTTTGACACCATGCTCACATGACCAGTGTATGTTTTGACACCATTCTCACATGTCCAGTGTATGTTTTGACACCATTCTCACATGTCCAGTGTATGTTTTAACACCATACTCACATGTCTAGTGTATGTTTTGACACCATTCTCACATGTCCAGTGTATGTTTTGACACCATTCTCACATGTCCAGTGTATGTTTTGACACCATTCTCACATGTCTAGTGTATGTTTTGACACCATTCTCACATGTCCAGTGTATGTTTTAACACCATACTCACATGTCTAGTGTATGTTTTGACACCATGCTCACATGTCTAGTGTATGTTTTGACACCATGCTCACATGACCAGTGTATGTTTTGACACCATTCTCACATGTCCAGTGTATGTTTTGACACCATTCTCACATGTCCAGTGTATGTTTTAACACCATACTCACATGTCTAGTGTATGTTTTGACACCATTCTCACATGTCCAGTGTATGTTTTGACACCATTCTCACATGTCCAGTGTATGTTTTGACACCATACGCACATTTCGAGTGTATATTTTGTCACTGTACTCACATGTCTAGTGTCTGGCATGACACAGTACCTACAAGTGTGGGGTCTGGCTTGACACAGTACTTACATGTCTCCGGTCTGGCTTGACACAGTACTTACGTGTCTTGGGTCTGGCTTAACACAGTACTTACATGTCTCGGGTCTAGCTTGACACAGTACTTACATGTCTCGGGTCTAGCTTGACACAATACTTACATGTCTTGGGTCTGGCTTGACACAGTACTTACATGTCTCGGGTCTGGCTTGACACAGTAGTCCGAGGTGTCCCACACCTTGATATTCCCGGCTGTATCCCCTGTAATCACGGCTGTGTTCCTTGGTTTTGAACACATGGCTAACACGGAGTCATCCACACTGTCTGTTGCACTGAAGAAACCTGGAGAAGAAGAAGAGCAGTTTCTGCTGAAGGGCCATCGCAGGTATGTCCAGTAGTGGCTGTAGCGGCCATCTTTCAAAATGGCAACCACGGCGACTAATAGTTATCAAGCTACAACAAGTCAATCTGATGCAGATTAAATACCATTTCTCTATTCATTTGGAACAATACTTTCAGTCGACCTCAATCACACCGGGATTTTCACTGTAAAACGATGAAGATCAAACAAGCGAATACATAATAAACGGGACATTATTTTCTCTTTTCTTATCAAATGAAACATTTATCTCATGGAGTGATAGAGTCTCCTTTGTCAGCCGTTGTCAGCCATTGTCACAAGATGAGATAAATATGTTACATGACAGAACAGACAAATATGCTCGATATAAAGTCATCAACAGTTACTACTGCACCTAGCTCTGATTTCGGGGTGTAGATATTCCACCAATGAAGCACCCCCCCTTCACTGGACACCACCACGGCACTCTCCGTGAACCTGATGGCAGCCCGGTCTCGCAGGAACATCACCTTGTCCACTGGAACCGGCTCACTGGACACACAAACAAGAACAGACCCAGATGTAGGGCAGTAAACATCATCGTACACTTTTACTCTGAACATCTCAACTTGTCTGCAGCGTCATGCATAGCCTTCATAAATCATTGTAAAGTAGGATGGCAAGGCTGGACTTGACAGTGCAGGAACAGGGCCGGAACAAGGGTGTCACCCTTATATGGAAGCAGATCGATTATGGGGGATGCATATTTCAGTTAAGTACAGGATGACTTTGACTCCATGACCTTCGGTAAAAGTCAATCAGCTGTAATTTGTTTGTTGTTTACTGCAGCAGTAGGCAATATTCCAACTATATGACAACAGCCTGAAAATAATGGAGTCTAGACCAGACAAACCTATGATTAATATTATAAGCAATGATCCACACCATTGATATGCTATCAATCACATTGCTGGGCCTGACCATCCAAGCCATTCATATGCCTCATGAGACAAGCAAAGGTTTATTTGGGCCAATTTGAACCTGGAATCCCCACAATGGCAGCTGTATTGGGAAAACAACTCTGAGCATGACATCTATTTTGTACTGAAACAAAAATTGAGGGAACACACACAGACACACACACACAGACGCACGCACGCACACACAGAAACACGCAGGCACACACAGACACATACACAGACGCACACACACACAGACACCCCAGACAGAGACACACACACACACAGACACATACACAGACGCATGTACGCACGCACACACAGAAACACACACACAGACATGTACACAGACGCACACACACACAGACACCCACACACACAGAGACACACGCATGCACGCATGCACGCATGCATGCACGCACTATTTGTGCAAGGAGCAGCATCCCCCCTTCTAACTTCCATGTCCTTCCTACAGTTATTGATCATGTATCATCAGTAAACATGAGCTGCTTCATTTACCCTTTCTGGACTCGATGCTTTTTCTTGTGCCTAGAATTAGGTCGTTCATTTTTCAAAGAAGCTGTTAAATCTTCTATTTTCCTATTTCTGCAATGGAAATAAAAGTACATATTACAGACCTGGATGTAAGGTATCAGCACCATCACTTTCACTCTAAACATCTCAACTTGTCTGCAGCATCACGCATCACCTTCATAAATCATTTTAAAGTAGGATGGCTTGACAAAAGAATCTCTTAGAGGATGTAAAAAAAATTCAGCAGACAAAAAACATTTATCTACAAAGGTGACAAAAAAAAGAAGAAGATTTTTCCCTGTCACTTACAAATTTGTTTGTTGTCCTTTCCGTAGTCTTATAAACATTTTTTCTGTTTCCAAATCCCATACAATAATTTCCCCATCAAATCCTGCTGTTGCAACAAAGTTCGGTGGGCAGAAGTCGATGGAGAGAATGTCATCTTTGTGGAGTTGTCCCCCTTTCCAGTCTTGGTTGGCAGTGATGTACATGTTCTGGAACACCACAAAGTACCATTGCATGTTCATATTCTGTTCTGACAGGTTTCATGCTTGCCGTAAAAGGCGACTAGCGGGATAGGGTGGTCAGGCTCGCTGACTTGGTTGATGCATGTCATCGATCCCAATTGCGTGGATCGATACCTAAGATGTCAATCACTGGATTTATCTGGTCCAGACTCGATTATTTACAGACCGACGTCATATAGCTGGAATATTGCTGAGTGCAGCGTAAAAGAACCAACCAACCAGCCATCTGACAGGTTTGTTTGTTATGACTTTATTACTTAGCAATATGGCAGCGGCCAGTGAATAATTGAGTCTGGACCAGACAATCCAGTGATTGATATTATGAACAACGTCCCACGCAACAGGACACGCAATAAGCCAGGTCACCAACCATGACCACCTGATCTAAGTTGCCTCTTACGAGAGTCACAGGTTGCTTGGGACCAAGCCAGAGAAGAGATGGTCATGTCATGATAATACTACCTAAAGGTGACTTACAAAGTACAGCAGAGTACAACAAAGAAATAATAGTATCGTTGGATTATAGATTTTCGGACATCATATGTTTTTGGACGGCCATGGTTATCGCGATTACTCGCGCTATAATTAGGGGTGTGGTGTCACACAGACACTGTAAATACTTAAATGATGACCTGTTTTTAAAATAAAGTCGTCTTTAAGATGTCAGTGAGATGTTTTACAGCTATTCTTGTAATTAAAAAGAAAATTACAAATGTTTCTTAAGAGTCCGAAAGTGAAAATAACTTTCTCAAGGGCTACAATGCTCCAGAGTATTTGCTAAAATACACAATCACCATAGCACAATTAATTTTGTATTTCTTGCATACAACTATGCATTTAACATTTTAAAAACCAATAGCCATACAACTGAATGTAGCTGTTTCAGCCTGTATACACTATGTCTTTACAGATCTTTATTTACATATTGAATGCAGGTATAATGTATCCATGACCTATAGTGCAGTGAATAACGTACACAAGTACCTCTTGCTTACTGTAACTGATGGTTCTGTCCCTGTGTACTCACGTCCTGGTCTGAGTCGTCGTAGATGGTGAGCAGTCTGCTCCAACCCACTGACAGGATCATCTTCTTGTCCCGGACTGGCAGGATCCCGGTGACCTCGGCCTCTGCTGCAGCCTCCAGCTTGTGCAGGTTATGGCCATTCTGGAAGTTCCAGACCTACAACATGACAAGGCAGGTGCTTGTAGGTGAGTGAGTGAGTGAGTGAGTGAGTGAGTGAGTGAGTGAGTGAGTGAGTGAGTGAGTGAGTGAGTGAGTGAGTGAGTGAGTTCCATGCCTACAACATGACAAGGCAGGTGCTTGTAGGTGATTGAGTGAGTAAGATTTGAAGCAGGATACAGTGCTGAAAGCCATGAGCATGGGTATGGTGCTAGCAAACCTAGAAACCTAATGAGTACAAACTGGGATTCGAACCCATGCTCATAAGATTCATTAATGCCTAAGGGATGCAACTCTGCATGCCCCAGGTGCATGCAGGGCTTATTTCATATCATGAGTTGAGTTTCAATCAGACAACTTGACTGTTCTTAAATTCCTGATGTCTACAAAAAGGAAAATGGAATAATGCTGTTACATACAACTGGTGGAATTTCATTAGTTGTCGTATGCATCACCCAAAATTACACTTACGTCCATAGAAATATTATATTCTATGCTATTATAGTAATGCTATTTTTCAGGCCATTATCATTTGCAGAAGCCCGAGGTCTTCCATTAACTGCCCGACAAAGGAGTGCGGTTGAAAAGACCGAGGGCTTCTGCAAATGATAATGCCCCGAAAAATAGCATTACCGTTATTATAGCTAAAAATGGATTGAATTTGTTATCAGATAAAAAGAAATAACAATATCGATTTTGAAATATTTACTGTAATCAACACGAATGTCACTGACCCACTTTTACAAAAATGGAAACGTCAGAGAACAAATCAGATAACATCACTATTGAACGTGATGTCACCTATCCCTATCCTATGACATCACCTAACAACGGGCGTGATAATGGCCCATCATCAAGCAATATGAGGGAATTATCAAGTTACAGAGGCCCGCTCATTTCTGATTAAATGCAGGCAGTTTTATGATAATTCCATCAATTTTAGCTCTAATACTCTTTAAGTTGTTTAGGTGTGACCTTTGGAGGTTATAAGTGCCAACAAGAATAAGATCTCTTAATCAATCTTCATTTCAAACTTCCAGCTAGATAGATGAAAAGAATTTAGATAGTTTGTCCTTATCCTCATTGCCATCGATAATATCCATTACAAGTTCTGAATCCTGAGGTTTATTTATATACTACTCTACTTTCGACAGGGATATTTACAACTTTCCATATACACAAAACTGATTCTCATATGTCAAGTATATATTTCAATAGAATGACAACCTGATTATCCCTTTCAAACATTGAGTAGTACAGGAAGCATGTTCGTATGGTCATCATTTCAATGTGTTTGTGCAGATTACATGTTTGATAATACATTTATCGCAGGCTTCATAAAATATACATTTCCAAAAGGTATTTTTGTCCCCAAAACTGTGATTCATAAGTTATTGTAACCTTGCCATAATGATTGAACTGTGCTATTGATACTGTAATACAAACTATTTTCTTTTTTTTTGTTTTGTTTGTTGTTAACGCTGCACTCAGCTATATGACGGCGGTCTGTGTAAATAATCGAGTCTGGACCAGACAATCCAGTGATTGATATCATGAGCATCAATACACGCAATTGGGATCAATGACATACATCAACCAAGTCAGCGAGCCAGACCACCCGATCCTGTTAGTCACCTTTTACGTCAAGCATAGTCGCCTTTTACAGCAAGCATGGGTTGCTGAAGACCTATTCTACTCCGGATCTTCACGGGTCGTAATACAAGTAATCTGGAACCTGACATCATGGAGGTTATATGTAGATTAGTTCAATCTCATTAAAATCAGGTCTTAGTGCATTGCAGGTCATGTCAGAATGACATTTCGGGAACCCTGACCGACCAATGAAATGACTAACAAGAAATCTACATAAGCCAACCAGAAAGCAGTTTTCTCAAGTTTTACGACACTAGTGTCAGACAGACAACAGTCAATCCAGACAATGCTTTGACAAATATTTTGAAAAGTTCTCTATTCACAACCTGAAAACTGAACAAAAGAAAATTCGTGAATGTCTAATAGATGGCAGTACTTCTCACTGGCTATGGAAAATCTCTTCAGTTTCAAATTTGTTCCCTGCGAGACAAATGATGATTTTGACGGAATTAGACGAACAGAATTAGACTTATTAGAATGTCATTGGGAATATGCAAGTTGTTCTGTCGTGACATGTAACAGGATGTCCTGAGATCTTTGTTTAGCAGCAGCAAGAACAAAGATCTGATTTTTATGAGATTGAGATTAGTGTTGAGGATGCGCAAGTAGCCTGTTTGCAACACCCACCTTGATGGTGCCATTCCTGGCGCCGGTCATGAGTCTCCTGTACGTCTCATCAAAGACCATGCAGGTGATCTCCTCGTCTCCATGGGCATTGGAGAACACAATAGACTTCCTGCCACTCTCAATGTCCCAGACAGCGATACAGGACGAGTCACAGCCGGTTACGACCTGTTGGAACACATACACACTTAATCTCAACACTGAGGAATGAAGACATATTTCCAATACACTTCTACCACAAGAGTAAACGCAAACACTAAATAGATGACACAAAGGATGAGGTAGGATGAAGGCTCTTTCATAATATTTTGGCCAGATTGAAATGTCAGATGACAAATCAGATACATGTATGTTTAAATAGCTGACCACAAGCAATTTTCCTTTCTTAAAACTAGAACACATTTTGGACTTACAGCAGAACAATATTTGTAAGAATGGCCAAACTGAGAGAAAAAGGCCTAACCATGAGTCCATGACACAAGATTATTTTTTTCACCATATATGAAAGATTATTCTGAGAAAATCAGCATCCTAAAAAAAGGCCTTTTAAGTTTTAACACATTTAATTTTTACTCATACATTTAGACAAAAGTCCAGTATATAAAGTGTTGCCATTAACAAAGAACTCATCCATATGATCACATCTGTTAAATTTCATAACGATTTCTACAAGTTTAGATCATTTCTCAAATTATGCAGATCTTTTAGGCCAAAGGCAAGATGGGACCAAACTACTATACCTGTGGCACTACTTATATACCAAACCTAGGTACCAGGTATCAGTAGACAAACATTACATGTTTCCTGATTTGCGGGTGTTATTGAGTAGTATTTGATGCCTGGACATTCCATATGGAACTGACATTGTTAGCCAGAGGTTTCAAATGTTAAATTTCAATAAGCCACATGTAAGTGCATATGTACCTGTTTGAAGAAGTGGTTGTAAATGGCACAACACAGCTGTGTATCATGTGTGGTGGGCATTACGCTCTGTGGTGCTGCCACCTGCCCAAGCTTCAGCATGCCGATGTAGTCGTTGCTGGTAACGAGCACTGCGCTGTGTGGCGCCCCCTGCAAGTGGAGAGGGAACTGACCGTGTTCTGGCATCCGTCCGTGGATGCTGCTAGGGAACTTGAGTTGCACCGTTTGAAGACAAGTGTGTTCTCGGATGTCCCACACCTTTATCACCTATAGGAGAAAACATGCCCTGTGTAAAGTGATGTCCAATACCGTTATCACCTATAGGAGAAAACATGCTCTGTGTAAAGTGATGTCCCATACCGTTATCACCTATAGGAGAAAACATGCCCTGTGTAAAGTGATGTCCCATACCGTTATCACCTATAGGAGAAAACATGCCCTGTGTAAAGTGATGTCACACGCTGTTATCACCTTCAGGAGAAAACATGCCCCTTGTAAAGTGATGTCACACACTGTTATCACCTATAGGAGAAAACATGCCCCTCGCAAAGTGATGTCACACACTGTTATCACCTACAGGAGAAAACATGCCCTTTGTAAATTGATGTCACATGCTTTATCACCTATAGGAGAAAACATGCCCCTTGTAAAGTGATGTCCCATACTGTTATCACCTACAGGAGAAAACATGCCCCTTGTAAAGTGATGTTCAACACTTTTATCACCTATAGAAGAAACTTGCCACTTAAAAAGTAATGTTCCACACCTTTATCGCGTATAGAAGAAACTTGCCACTTAAAATGTGATGTTCCACACTTTTATCGCCTATAGAAGAAACTTGCCCCTTAAAAAGTAATGTTCCACATCTTTATCGCCTATAGAAGAAACTTGCCACTTAAAAAGTAATGTTCCACATCTTTATCGCCTATAGACGAAATTTGCCACTTAAAAAGTAATGTTCCACACCTTTATCGCCTATAGAAGAAACTTGCCACTTAAAAAGTGATGTTCCACACCTTTATCGCCTATAGAAGAAACTTGCCACTTAAAAAGTGATGTACCACATCTTTATCGCCTATAGAAGAAACTTGCCACTAAAAAAAAGTAATGTTCCACATCTTTATCGCCTATAGAAGAAACTTGCCCCTTAAAAAGTGATGTTCAACACCTTTATCGCCTATAGAAGAAACTTGCCCCTTAAAAAGTAATGTTCCACATCTTTATCGCCTATAGAAGAAACTTGCCACTTAAAAAGTAATGTTCCACATCTTTATCGCCTATAGACGAAATTTGCCACTTAAAAAGTAATGTTCCACACCTTTATCGCCTATAGAAGAAACTTGCCACTTAAAAAGTGATGTTCCACACCTTTATCGCCTATAGAAGAAACTTGCCACTAACAAAGTGATGTTCTACACCTTTATTGCATATAGAAGAAACTTGCCCCTTAAAAAGTGATGTTCCACATCTTTATCACCTATAGAAGAAACTTGCCCCTTAAAAAGTGATATTCAACACCTTTATCGCCTATAGAAGAAACTAGCCACTTAAAAAGTGATGTTTCACACCTTTATCACCTATAGAAGAAACTAGCCCCTTAAAAAGTGATGTTCAACACCTTTATCGCCTATAGAAGAAACTAGCCCCTTAAAAAGTGATGTTCCACACCTTTATCACCTATAGAAGAAATTTGCCACTTAAAAAGTGATGTTCCACATCTTTATCGCCTATAGAAGAAACTTGCCACTTAAAAAGTGATGTTCCACACCTTTATCACCTATAGAAGAAATTTGCCACTTAAAAAGTAATGTTCCACACCTTTATCGCCTATAGAAGAAACTAGCCCCTTAAAAAGTGATGTTCCACATCTTTATCGCCTATAGAAGAAACTTGCCACTTAAAAAGTAATGTTCCACACCTTTATTGCATATAGAAGAAACTTGCCCCTTATAATGTGATGTTCCACATCTTTATCGCCTGTAGGAGATTTCTTATAATCATGTATATGCTTTTGCTGCTTTCATTTACTGCAGGCATTCCAGGTATCAGTGGGAGTATTCTTTTCAAGAGATTATCAGTAACCTCATTCAAGTCAACCCTAACAAAATATTATTAGCATAGACCAAACATATCTATAAAAGAAATAGTTAATTTTATTTCAAACAATCTTATTTCATTCCAATACATTTTGCATATGTAATAAAACCCTTCAGTTATTCATTTCAGTAACAGCAGAAACAAAAACATTTACAAAAAATATGAATAAATCCTAATGCAACAGTCACTCTAAAAGCCATGCACTGCTACAAAATAAAAATGATACGATACTTACTTGTCACCCATTGTCCCTACAACCTAGCCGTGTTCACACTACCCAAACAATGGCAGCTGTATCTGTCTTGATGCAGACAACTCATTTAGGCCGCTCAGATATTCTAATTGCAGCATTGCAGCAGTAAGTTGTCTGACAAGACTGTTTAGATATCGGTATCAGATTTTGTCATGGTGATACGAAATAAGAAGAGATGAACTAGACAAAACAAAGCTGATCGACAGGTGACCTTGTGACATGACCTGGGTTACGACATAAAATGACACAAAAGTTAGTCACAATATTTGTAAGAATACACACAACCAATGGCATGTGTTTGGAATGCTATGCTATACACTATAATGAGTGAGTATGGTTTTACGCCGATTTTTGAGCAATGTTCCAGCAATATCATGGTAGGGGACACCAGAAATAGGCTTCACACATTGTACCCATTTTGGGAATCCAACCCGGGTCTTTGGCGTGACGAGCGAACGCTTTAACCACTAGGCTACCCTACCGCCCCCTATACACCATAAAGGCCAAGTTATGTTTCTTGCTACTGTTCGCAATTTCCTGAGAAAACTTCTTGTTGGTTTGAATCGCAAAATGACAAAGTGAAACACAGCCCCACTCTGTCACCATAACGTTAATCACATTTCTGTTTCACTTTGGAGTGATATATAATTGATAATACTTTGCATTGTAAGACCTCTTATTGGCTGGTTTACAAAATGTTTGGCTTAAAATTTAATATGGCGGTCGAAAATAAAAAAATAAGAATTTCAACTTCCAGATAAGTACTGCTGCTAATGAATGAAAAACAAACAAGTTTTAACAAGATACTGAAAGATAACTCATTGTTGTTTTTTGTGAGAATAAAGACTTCAATACGGGTACATATTATGCACCATTTCTTACGAACAGCTGTGATAAAATCGCATGTGTTTTTTTCAGTTCATTTTCAGTCAAAACTCATTGTGTCAAACTTGGAAGTGTCAATTTTCTGATTGTCTCAAATTCACCTTCCTGTCCCTGCAAATTCCATCTATTTTTATCATAATTAACTATCTGTCGAATTGGATGTGTGGAATTCCAATTTGCTGGTATGCAGTTAAAAAATTGAGAAATGAGTAAAATGATAAAGATTATGTTAGTTCATGTATTCTTGAGCTACGAGTATCAGATCTTACTATACCTAAGAAGAGAATATTAACAGTGAAGACTATTGATAAGTACAAAGTAACTCCTACAGTATACAGGGGGCTATCCAAAGCTGACATTGCAAATGGGTTTGGTATTCCAAGAAATACTTTGTTCAAATGGATAAAAAATACTGACAAAGACCTTTTTCAAATGTAAAGAATCCGTATTCTTATTACCATTCCATCTTTTTAAGCCTTTTCAAAATGGCAATATGTTTGAAGTTGTTACAACGTGATATTGAATTGTTTGTGAATACAAAAATGAATTACATATGGTTATCGACGTTGAATCGTAGTATGAAACAAAACATGACTAGATAACATGTCATAATCTCTCATAACATGATGTTTGGTTTTCGAAAATGCACATTAGTTGGTTGTCTTGAACTCTGGATAACTCAAACTTTTTTCCAGGTCCTCGAGTTTAACACAAGAAAGTTTGACTGTAATTGTAGAACAGAGTTGGCGCCGCTCAAAGTTGTCAGAAGTAAATTCTTTCTTTGAATTTCAGGAATCTTTTTGTAAGTCGATTATGTAAACCAACTTAAAAAATAAAAGGCCTAATGGGTGACAAACATGACATTCTGTCAATGTAACAGATTTCAAATTTGATTCAAAGAGCATAATATTATTGCCTGACAAAACATGCATATTTAATACAATTGAGAAAGGACTAAAAATATCAGGAAATATTTATTGTCAAAAAGCACATCTTATGTTGATTAATAATGATAAAAGTGACACTTTCTCTTTTGTGAATTAAATATGCAATCTCTGGAGCCAGTTGGCAAGTAAGTATGTGGGATTTGGCCTACAGGACAGTTTTATATTAGCTGCTTGTTTCAAGGACCACAGGTTATTATTCTGCCTCTAAACCCCCAAGGACAAAAGGGTTAGTGACGCCACAGCATGCACAGAACATGGTAGACAAGTTCCCAAGAAACACATCTTAGCACATAGATGAGACAAAGATACAAATATATTAATTCCACTGAATGGTATAGTGGTTCCATATCACGTATGACAAAATCTGAAGCATTTTTGCGCTATCATCACACTCATTAAACTATGTCAATACAAACCGCATCCTTGGAATAGCTGAACACTTGTCGGAAACCCTCATGAATAGCAATACCGATGACGCCAGTAGCATGACCAACAAGGACTGTGATTGGTTTACTCGTGACGTACGGGTTCCACAGACGGATGTAGTGGTCGGAGCTACCAGTTGCCAGGATGTTGATGTTCTTGTTGTAGTCAAAACACTCAACACCCTACAGACACAAAAGAGCTGTACAGGCTATTGTTGTTGGAAACCATTTGTTTTAGATATCCTACAAATCAGCAAACATTCTTTTCCTAGACATAATTAAGGCAAAATGTCCCTGACCTTACAATAATTGACAGTGAGGTTTCCTGTTTGGGTTTTGGACAAACCAGATTTCACTGTATTTGTAATTGCTTCACATGGTTGGAGTAGAAACGTTTGTTCCATCTGGAAGTCTCTGTGTCAGTTCTGTGAAGTATAGCAATGTGAAAGGATAGGACATCTAAATGCTCAGGCTAGTTCTGTGGATAGCAATCTTCCAGAAAAATCATGGACGGGTACATCAGAAATCGGCTTCAAACTATGTGGGGATTCAAACCCAGGCCTTTGGCATTACGAGCTAATGCTTAAACCACCACCGGAGGTCACCGAACAGGACACAGCATTCTATGGTATGCAAAGGGTTTCTGTGCGAGATCAGAGCATGAAAAACTTTCAGTATGAAAAGAAAAACATCAATGCCTTAGGAGTATTCATATTCATAAGACCGCCTCCGTGGTCTAGTGGTACAGCATCTGCCCGGAGAACGGAAGGACCGGGGTTTGATCCCCGGCCGCGTCATACCAAAAGACGTTAAAAGAATCTTGTACGCGACGTTAAACCCGATTTCACCTCACCTCACCTCAAATTCATAATCTGCCACAGGAAATTGAGGCCAGTGTTTCAGTGACAGTAAATTGAACATTATGAATAAGTACATACCTTATCTACTCGGAAGACATAAGACCGCTTCAGGCTCTGGACATCGGAGATGACCACTGACTTGCGGTCACTGTCGCAGGAAGAGATGATGGAGTCACTGTCTGGCAGGAAGCGGACCTGTCTGATGATCCCGGGGTGGATGTTGGACAGAACAGAGAACTGGACATACTTGGTGTGCTGGTGCAGGTCCTACAGCAGGAGTAGGCAACAGTTGACAACTGAACATATACGAGGAACTATAATTAAGGGAACACCAAGAAGGAAATGACCAGTTTCGTTGCATGAGACACAGTTACTGAATGTGGATAGCACACTGGCTCAAACTTTACACGTTGCAAATGAATAGCCTGCCATTCATGGTGACACATCCTGGTTACTTCCATGTGCCAATGAATGTCACAACCACATGATTCATTGACTGGGTACAAAAAAGGAAAATGCCTCCTAGAGTGTACATGACAGCAGTGTCTAATATTCCCAAGATTTCAGTCAGACAACCAGCCTGCAAAGTTACCAGACCAAATAAGATATTGCCAGTCCAGATTTTTCTAGACAAATGGACAAAAGTAACAAAAGGGTAAACATAAGAATAGTACTGTTAAATGTAAGTTCTCAGAAAATAACAATCAACTGGTGGATTGTCAACTTAGTAACTTCATCTGATTGAAATTTTATCCATCAATTATGTGTTAACGTTTACACTTAATTTACCTCTTACATTGAACTAAAACTAGAAGGCAAAATAGGTCATTTAGGGAATACAATAGTAGCCCGACCATCTTGTATGTAACTTTTCAAAACTGACCATCCGTCTACAAAATAGACCATCTCGGACTGTAGGGCAGGCGGGTATTTTAAACATTGATGACAGAAAAAGAAAAAAATGTGCGCAATACACATGATTGAAGCTGGCCAATCACAGAATGCAGTTGTCAGACACTTAGGTAAATCTAAAAGCGTGATATCCCAAATGATGGAATGATATCGGCAAACAGGTGGTGTAGGATTAATGTGGGTAGAGGAAGGCCTTGAAAGACTCCCCAGGCAGGACTGATATAGGTGCACCAGTGTGTTGATGAACAGGTTCATTTCTGCACAAGAACTGAGGGACAACTTGAGGCCTGCCACCGGAATCCGACTTTCCAATGCTAAAAAATGGTTGAACTGAGCTTGCGTCAGAACTTTGAGTTCCAGGATGACAATGCATGTTCTCACAGAGCTCGTGTTTCAGTTGACTGTGTGAGGCAGCAAGGTGTCACACCATTACCCCTGCCAGCCAAATCTCCAGACAGGTCACCGATTGAACACCTTTGGGATGTTCGGGGCTGAAGGGTTCGGAACCGACCTCAGTGTTACCAGAACTTGAAACAGTGTGGACAGGCCTTACAAGAAGAATGGCGACCACGGGAGACAATCCAGCATTTGATATCCAGTATGCCGAGAAGTTAACATGCCTCCATTAATGGTCATGGAGCACTGACCAGACATGGACTTTACAAGAAGATTGAATTCCACATCATTACTTTACATGTCACTTCTGAATAAGTTTTGGGGTTACCTTAAATATTGTTCCTTGTGTATACACTTGGTGTGATGGTGCAGGTCCTATGACCTGGGTTGACCAAGTGGTTGTATATACATATCCATCTTCCTGAGGCAAGAGAATTAACTGACTTTAAAAGACCAGTTCCGAACTAGGCTGGAATTCCTGGGCTCAATCATAGCGCCACCAATGGCTATTACATGTTATATCCCATCTAAGCCTCTCCTATGGACCAATCATATTCCACCTCCCATATCACTTGCATTTGCTTCAAACAAAATGGCGGCGCCCAGTCAAGACGATCTGATCAAAACTCAAGATCTATATTGTGATAAAACGGGTCTTACATCGCGAAGTGCATCAAACCACTTGAGCACCTTGATTAAAAACATGAAAAGATTTGTAAAATATCTGTTGACAACAATTTGGCGGTACATATGCTTTGCAAATCCTGCAATCGATCAAAATCTGCACGACAGTTTACTATCCGGATTTCAATTTCGATGCGCGATTTTGATTGGACTATGCATAGACTCGTTAGGCCAGCCAAAACTCCAAAATACCAGCCTAGTTCGGCAAGGGTGGAAACTGGACTTTAATAGTCAGTTAACTCCCTTGCCTCGGGAAGATGATCCATATCAGAAGAGTGCAAACAATTTCATTTCATACAATGTTTTACTTTTACAAGTTTATTACACCTTGAAATGTGTTTACCTGCATGAATATCTTCTGAACTCCCCCTTCACTCTGGAAGGGGGTCTCGAACAGCTGTGTGATGGGTTTGTTGAAGTAGAGGAGGTTGATGTCCCCGGAGTCCACACCGAAGGCAAGCAGGGACCGATTGTTGGGGTTCTGGGGGCATGAGTGCACATCATTATGTTGGGGCTGAACCTTCTGGCATATTGTACATGTCTCGGACAGGGAAGCAACACATTGATTAGGCCTTCTTTGGATTTGTTGGTTTACATATTTGTTTCTCCAACTGTGGGTCAGGGTTGAAATAAAATACAAATATATTAACACCTTCACTTATGGTTTTGGTTTGTAAAGAAGTCAGGTCTGCAGAGAAAAAGAATAATGATTTTCCAACTTGCTATTATGTCGCATGTATCACTTGTCGGCCAGGCAGGGAAACAATTTTAGATTATTCTATTTTCTTAAGAGTGACTATCTGGCTTTGGGGTAATAAAAACTGAAATTTTCCCTCCACATTTCTGATTCTTAGGGTCTGCAGGTCTGTAAACCAAGATTTTTAAAAATGCCATATGTAGAATATGTAGTTATTGTTAGGCTACAAAAAAAAGTTTTTGCTTCTCTCACAAATTTGTTTCAACATCAACAGATGTTTTTTATCCATGCGTCAGACTTTTCGTTAAAAAGAAAGAAAGAAAATCTCTTATGTTCCGTCTTAGATGAAATTCTCATGATTGGAAAACAGGATGTTTCAAAAACCTATATCTACTGAAGAAGAAATGAATTATGTCTGATACATACAAATAATGATCCTAATCTTTTCAAAAGCCTTTTTCTCTATGATAGCCAGCTAGTTGGGATAATAAAAGGCTCAAATCAGACAATTTTGAGCTAATACGTGAAATAACTAACGAGTAGGTGTTCCTGTCTATAAAGACATCCTACCTTCTGGTCATACCAGTAGTCAAAGCAGTAGGGTACATCAGTCATTGCTGGAACAGAGAGACATGCAGATGCAAGCTTCAGGTGAACGATACTGTAGGGAAGTACTACATGTATATCAATACACTGATGTGTTGCTGGGTATGTGCAGGAAAAATCATGTCACATAACATTACGACTGTCGTAAGTCTGTGTTTAACTATGGGAGTTGCGACAGTCGCTTTGTGAAACAGGGCCAAGGTACCTCATTTCATCAACGAATAAATCATCGTTCAAATCAGACGTTTTTTGCTTGTTGTTCCTCCCAGTACAGGTGCGGGTCGTTCAAGTACACGAGCATGATATTCCAACAAATACACTACACTACTGATAGTGACAATCGATGAAATTATAACTAATAAAGTATGGTACGCTCACTTCTGACACTGCTGTCTGTATAGTTTCAGCTGTAACATGTAAAGGCATAGACCCGTGTAGATCCAGGGTAGCATAGGTCTTCTGAAAATCATGCTTGCGTAAAAGGTGACTATGCTTGTCGTAAGAGGCGACTAACGGGATCGGGTGATCAGGCTCACTGACTTTGTTGATGCATGTCATAATATCCTATTATATAAATCGATGCTCAAGATGTCAGTCACTGGTTTGTCTGATCCAGACTTGATTATTTACAGTCCGCCTGGAATATTGCTGAGTGCGGCGTTAAAAAACAAACAAATAAACAAAATATAGGCATAAATTTGTTACCAGTACCTACCAAACAAATGGAATTCTTCAAAATACTGGGTGGTGGAAACATCATAGAAGCGGATGTCTCGACTGGTAGATCCGATGGCAATCTTATGACAGTTGGGCATGTAGACGACATCTGTGATCCACATCTTGAAGCGACGCTTCTGACCTATTGTCTCTGTGGTGTCGTCCTCGATGACATAATTCCTCTCATACGAAATGTTGGAGTTCCACACACTCATACCCCCTTCCTGCAGAACAGGAAGTATACAACCTTACAGTGGGATCGGGTGTGCTTGGGGCCAGCGTTAATTTGCTGAGCAGAGTTGCATCCCTTAGGGGTGCCAGGAACCTATGATAATAGGTTCGAATCCCAGATTCACTCTAGGTTTGTCAGTACCAATTATATTCGGCCTTGGTGTAAACCTGCATTATATCTGGCCTTCCTCCTAAATTTAGCTAACAAGGCGTTAGAAATTGGCACTTGTCCTATAGTCCTTGCCAATTGCCCAATCGTTAAGGTATCATCAAGACTAGTTGAAATTAGCCATTTTAAGGGATTTGCTACATGTTATCATTAGTGAACATATTAAAACATGTTACTTTCTATCACTGTAGCACGCTGTGACATAACTGAAATACTGTCCAAATCACATAAAACTCAACTCATTCATTCACTGTTCAAAACAGTGTTAAACTTCACTCTCTCTCACTCACTCGAGATCACTGCAGTGGTGTCAAGTCAAAAGATGACATGAGGTAAAAGTATTTTGTGCAGAATTTTTGCTCAGTGTACATTACCAGCATGATCAGGCAAATCAGGGACTCATTTCACTGATTTCAAAGTAATTACCTTCTATTTTATACATTCCAACAGATATTTAATGGTTATTTGCCAGACAGAGTTCACAGAGCACAAGTAGGCAGGACCAAGATAATGAAAGGTCGGTTATTGAAAAAACATGATGCCATGAATCAGGTTCAACTTATGTGCAAAGAATGACAACAAAAATATTCATTATAAAACATCAACACCAGACAACAATCAGACTCTATTGTCTGCGATTACACCTACCTTACTTATTGTTAAATATCGGGTAGGGTTTTCAACAGATATGATCTTGGTAGTAGTTTCTTGCTGCAAATAAAGATATCTTGTGATAATACGACAAAATATATAACACTGGAATTAAATGTACCTCATATTGACTACAATAAAGTACATCCTGGATTGTCCAAGAGAAGTTCTACACCAGCTGACTGATCAGACATAGAGGATATTATACTCGTGTTCATGACCATGTTTACGACACTCGTATCATAATGGGGAATCATAATGGATTTGGTGATCAGGCTTCAGTGACTTGTGTCAAAATATGTCCCCAGTATGTCCCCAGCAACCTAAGCTTGTCATAAGGTGAGGTGAGGTGAGGTGAAATTGGGTTTAACGTCGCGTCAAAGATTATTGCACTTATATAGCAACGTGCATGCACGTGTGTGTGTGTGTGGCTGCTTGTACTAGTCCGGACTGATGCCGATTTATAGTGCTAGCACACTGAGATACCATGCCGCATTTTAACATGAATACCCCACTCAGACACAGTATACAGACTCCGAGCCGACCAGTCCTTGTTTTAGCCCCTTAATGCCAAGCGCCAGACAGGGTAACAACAAGTACCATCTTTTAACGTCTTTAGGGATTGAACCCCAGACCTTCCGCTCTCCGGGCAGACGCTCTACCACTAGACCACGGAGGCGGTCCTTGTCATAAGGGGAATCATGATGGACTTGTTGGTCAGGCTCGGTGACTTGGTTTAATGCATGTCATCGTGAATTGTCTGGCCCAGATATCATCATTTACAGGCCACCATCATATAACTGGAATACTGCTGAGTGTGGTATGAAATAACAAACAAACCAACGTTCCATGTTCTCACCCTGTTGTGTACGGCATGTCTGATCTTGGGCTCCACAAGGAAGGGGATTTCCTTCTTGGTGCGGAGGTAGTCGTTCTCCCGGTACAGCAGCAGGAGATAAGTGCAGAACTCATCCCAGTCCACGTACCCGTCACACGACGTGTCGAGCTAAACACAAAAAACATGGCAACTACAACATCCATTGAGGATCATATATTATGGTAACACATACTGTCAAATGACGTGTCAAGCTGAACACAAAATACATGGCATCCATTGAGGATCCTATACTGTGGTAACTTGTAGGGGTGTTTATTGAAGGCAACCATTGCAATTGTGGTACAACCACTGTTATATACTCTCCACTTTTGACAGGGATATATTTATCTTTCCATGGTAAATAAAACAGATTCTCATATGTCAAGTGTATGATTAAACATCATGTATATCTCCATTTTTGTTAACCTACACTTACACTTGGATCCATTACCGCAGATCTGGAAAAAACATCCCCTTCCCCTGCCCCCAGTACACTGTGTACTGAGAAACATTATCATACCTCCATGTCAGAATGATGAGATCTGATTGGTCCATGTGATCTTGATAAAATACTATGTATCCCGCCTTGGAGGGAAATAAATTTTCAGCAGGTGAATAAATCCCTTATACCCAGCCACGAGCAAGTCAGGCTGCACGTAGATTTCTGAGAGGCAGAATAAATCCCTAAATACCCCACTTTAAAGCAAAAAGCTGCACGCTTTTTCAAGTCAATGGAAGTCATGTAACATAGCACAAGCTAACCTCGAGCTCAGCTAAATCGAACATATGCTTTCAATCAATTTTGAATTTGTGTTAATTCTTTTACAATGTCATATTTAAACATTTTGGTAAGATAAATTTGGTTTATTACTTGTCCGTGAAGAGATCACCCATTTAATAAACATACAGCTGTATTTCACATTGTGTAATACCAATACGCATGCTTATGTACTGTCGGAACAAGTTTCACGAACAAATATTGAAAGCTCCGAACATCCCTTGGCTTATTCAACAACATTGCGTGTGGAGATGATAAATTGTTTCGCCGATGGATCTTGCAACAAAATTCCACAAATTACGTTATCGGGTATTGTGACGTGATTGTAAACTTTGTGGTTCTGAGCCCCGTACCACAAGAAGATCGTACTGTAACGCAACGTCAGTCGTAAGTCTATGTTAACGTATGTGAGTTGCTATGAAACCTTAGCACTACAATAACTTTGTCGAACGGATGCCTGAATTCTAAAGGTGGACCGTTGTATGGTATTAAATTAATATGTTTCAACGTTTGACGAGTTTCGAGTATTATTCTGTTAAACTTAATTGGATATTATGCTGTATTCTATATGTGGCAGGATCACTCGGGGTACGTAGGGTTTTATGCATATCATGTATCCCTGCTATACTGACCTTGGTGAAGAGCCTCTCCAAGTAGTCATCATATTCATTGGTCTCCAGCACCTTGGATATGGTGTTTTTGAACTCTTCCACGTTCATACACCCTGGGGTCCTCTTGAAGACCTTGGCAGGGAAGTAGCCGGTCTCCTCATGGATGAGGATGTCCTCGGGGTCGTGGATCTCAAACTCGTGGAGCAACTGCTCCAGATGCTGCAGCTTGATATGCTCCTCAAGGCGGACATTCTCAGCCTTGTTGAAACTGAAATGAACATTTTACTATTTATTGAAGGTGAATGTGTTTGATTATTCTGCTTCAAGTGATTTAATGCTTGTGGTTATTCACAGGTGATCTACAAACTCTACTACCTCAGACACCAACAGTAAAAAGACATTTTTCAGACCTATCTTTGTGTACAAAACTATGTCACCTATCGACAAAGAAATAGCCGCACAAATTCAAACGAAAGCACAACTGTCATAACTATTTTGGACCTTGCCTTTTATAATAGAGAAAAACAAAACAAAAAAACCAAGAAAGACCAGAGGGATTCTCCATCCGCACATGATCAGGACTATTACTGTCACTGGTGTGTCTGGTCTAGATGTGATTATTTACAGGTTTCTTTGATCATCGCTGGAATGTTGCTGACTGTATAAACATTAATGTTTCTTCCTATGTACTGCGCTCTTTGATAAGGATATTCTTAGAATAGATTTCTGGATAGAAGAGCTCCCAGGAAATCAATGTGCATGAGTGAGTATGGTTTCACGCCGCTTTTAGCAATATTCCAGCAATATTGCGGCGGCGGACACCAGAAATGGGCTTCACACATTCTACCCACGTCGGGAATCGAACCCGGGTCATAGTCGATTGGTGCTCATAATAACAGTCACCAGTTCACTTGACCCAGACTTGATTAATAACAGGCTGCCGTCACATAGCAGGAATATTGACGAGTATGGCAAAAGAAACAATTGAATGAATAGAGTGTGTCCATTCATTTAAGGGGCGGTCGGGTAGCCTAGTGGTTAAGCGTTCACTCATCACGCCGAAGACCCGGGTTCGATTCCCGACATGGCTACAATGCGTGAAGCCCATTTCTTGTGTTCCCCGCCGTGATATTGCTGGAATATTGCTAAAAGCAGCGTAAAACCAAACTCACTCACTCACTCACTCCATTCATTTAATGAAACAGTAAATCCCGAGGCTAACCATTTCAGACTGCTTTTGTCAACACCAATTCATTCAGCAATCTGGTAACCAGTTGGTTCTGTTTGGGTTTACTAGTAGATCTAATAACATTACAGAAGAACATACAATCGGAGGCAAATATGGTCACATATCATAATAACTTTCATAAATAGTGACTTCTTAATTCAAGCAGGGGATTGTACGATACCAAATGATTCTCTCATGTCATCTATTTCACAGTACCTCTTAACCTTGAACATAGAAAAACATATTTTGAAAATTTGGTAATTCACTTGTATAAACCGTGCTGTATTTAATAAGTGTAACAGAATCAACTCTTTTTTCAACAGATTTCAAATTAATCAAATTGTGCAACAGCCAGTCAAACAGTCTAGTAGCTCCTCGGTAATTCAGACTCTGGTTGACAATGGCTCTTGCTTCCTGTGTGGTATGATATCTTTATGTCAACACAGAACCCTGCTTGATAATCACTCTGATCAAGCGAGGTAATCCTGATTAATCCTCAAGTCAACAGCCACTAACCGGGTGAACAACATGATACTGTTTGAAGAAACAGCTGTTTAGCATTATAGAAAACTCTCTTTAACGTAATAGAAGGGATTTCCCTGTTGTATGTATACACATGTACCTTTCTGACATTTATAAAGCGTAGTTAAGTGCAGTCCCCAAATGCACTCATAATACTGTGTTTACACATCAATGTTATTAATAGTTGGTATATTTGTGTGTCAATATCTCATGGACAAAGTAAAAGGTTGATCTGGAAAATCTTTACAGAAAATTATAACCGATATCTCTAAATTAGTTTTAAAATACTATGGAGAGTAGTATAGTCTACTACTCAAATGAAGTTAAAGAACAGTGATTCTTTCATCTCACTAAAGATAACCTGTCACGGCATGATACATCAACTATAACTATAGTAACATGAAAGAATGAGGTGTTCTTTAAATATAGTATATAACGCTTAGAGAGGGTACACCTTCCTGCGGCAAGGGAGTTAACTGACAGTTCAGTTTCCACCCTTACCGAACTAGGCTGCAATTATGGAGTTATATTTTGGCCGAACTAACGAGTCTGTGGATTGTCCAATCAAAATAGTGTAACTAAATCGACATCCAGTCTGTAAACTGCCGTGCAGATTACGGTCAATTGCAGGATTTGCAAAGCATGTGTTCCGATAACTTAGTGTCAACGGATATAATCTTTTCATGTTTTTAATCAATATGCTCACGTGATTTGATGCACTTCTTGAATTATTATTATTAATATTATTATTTTTATTATTATTATTATTATTATTATTACAATATACACATGATATAGATCTTAATTATCAATCAGATCATCTTCACTGGGCAGCGCCATTTTATTTGAAGCAAATGCAAATGATACGAGAGGCCGAATCTGATTGGTCAATAGGAAGGACATAGAAGCGACATAACTCATAATAGCCACTTGTGGTGGTACGATCGAGCCGAGAAATTCCAGTCTAGTTCAGCAAGGGTGGAAACTGGACTTTTATAGTCAGTTAATTCCCTTGCCTCAGGAAGATGGAGAAGGTAATACATCATGGATGGTGATTTTCGGTGAGCCATGCATATAATGTGCACGACTGTTTTGCCCTTTATCCCAATTGAATCTGTTTCGGCAGATAATCAAGACTTACAGACTGCTGACATTTTATATTTTAGCAGGGTTTAAAGCAACACTATGATTAAAACATTTAATCATTTGTTTTCAGAGAGGAAAGGGAAAGTTCCGGTACTGTGTTGTATTATACAGTTCGTTTTATTACTTCAGTGTAAAATCAAAAACAAACAATAACCCTAAAAAACCAGACCCGTGAAGATTCTGGGGTAGAATAGGTCTTCAGCAACCAATGCTTGACGTAAAAGGTGACTATGCTTGTCGTAAAAGGGGACTAACGGGATCGGGTGGTCAGGCTCGCTGACTTGGTTGATTCATGTCATCGATCCCAATTGCGTGGATCAATGCTCATGATATTAATCACTGGATTGTCTGGTCCAGACTCGATTATTTACAGACCGCCGTCATATAGCTGGAATATTGCTGAGTGCGGCATTAAACAACAAACCAACCAACCAACCTAAAAAAACAAGTTGCACATAATTCAATAACTGAATCATCAATTACAGTTTGCACACAACAGATAATGTTAAAGAAACTTTTCTGAACCGTCAGTCTAACACAACTTTTCCTGCAATGAATTTCAGAAATGAAGTAAAAATAGTTCCAAGTCGGGGGTGCCACTTCTTAAATCAAGATATCAAACATATTACTCACTTTTCAGTGATAATCCTATCCTTTGAATTAACTGACTCCACAAATCCAATCTTAAACACTTTCCTTGGCATGCCTATTCTAACATAACTGACCACTTAAACAAAAACGTCCAAATCAAACTATCTTAATTGAAGCACTTTGTCAAGCTTGTCCACAAAGCCTGCATAACTATCTACTAGCTGGGCTTAACTGGCTTATGGGGTTCCCAACTGTAATACTATCCCCATATTCTGCTATTTCTCAACGATCAGTGCAAGTAGAGACGAAAAGCAAACAGAGACATGATTTTTTCTTGAGAACAATACACGCACCTAAATCAATCTTGTGTGGTTAACAGAATTCCAATCCTTTCTACACGCTTCAAGGTACATCTATTCAGTTTCTTCACCACCCTGTCCTGTTTTGTCTATGGAAAGTATTAGGTGACAGAAATAGTTCTATTTGCATGAAGCCCGGATAACAGTGAGTTCAGGTGCAAATACCAGTGGCTTGCTTCAATGGAGAATTTCACATGTTGTGTTCACTGTGTTGTTTAAACGATCAATGGGACTAAAACTGAAATGAAATCAAGGACTACAATGAACAGCTTACTACTCAAACAGTTATGTTAAGCCCACATAAAGTTATTTTTTGGGTTAGAGTTTTACACAAAAGATTTTTACTTAAATATTTTTTTTAAAAGTAAAAGTTAATTAATAAAGAGCTGTCTTTCATTAAATACTATGTCTTATTTGGTAACCTTTTTGTCATATATGTTTATATTCTGTTTCATCAAACTTCTAAATGCCAAGGGGTGGTTTGGTGGCCTAGTGGTTCAAGCATTCGCTCATCAAGCTGAAGGCCCTGGTTCGATCCCCTACATGGGTACAAGGGCTCCACCATGATATTCCTGGAATATTGCTAAAAACGGTGTAAAATCATACTCACTCACTCACTCAAAATGCCCATCAAAGACTTTCTGTTATATTTGTTATTCAAATTGTTTACTTGATTTTGCCTGATGCATTTTGCATATTGAGCAAGAAAAACTGTTAAAAAGGGGGAAGTGCTCCGGCTAAAGTGGAATTTTAAGACTTCCCTGATCTCCGATGATGAAGGTTTAACTGACAAAGTTACTAGCTATGAGAATGAACTGCTTTAAACACAACTGAGTGAGTTCTGTGGATTCTGGAACAATCCTAAGGTTCTTAGACTATGTTCTCTCTGGACAACCTCTAAAACTGCTGGACGATCAGTTTCATGAAAAACTCATGGACAAACCAATTCTTAATAAATAATTGTTTGTTTTTTTGTTTAACGCCGCACTCAGCAATATTCCAGCTGTATGATGCTGGTCTGTAAATAATTGAGTCTGGACCAGACAATCCAGTGACTGACATCATGAGCATCGATCTACGCAGTTGGGACACGATGACATGCATCAACCACCCGATCCTTTTAGTCAATTCTTACGACAAGCATAGTCGACTTTTATGGCAGGCATGGGTTGCTGAAGACTGGATATTCATGGCTCCTCAAGAACAGGATGATGGAAGCATGTAAGACTTGAATAGTTAATGCCTGACTCAAAGACAACCACTACATAATAACCTGATCATCTACTGTGGCTTCAGGCACTGAGATGAATATAGGAACTGTTGGAAAAAATGCTGAAAGAAAATTTGGAAAAGGAAACCATCTTGAGTGAGTGAGTGAGTGAGTGACTTTGGTTTAACGCCGCTTTTAACAGTATTCCAGTT